ACCTATGGCGTGAGCGGCAAAAAAAAAAATTGCTACTTTTTGCGGGCCACATCCTTGACAAACGGAATTTTTGTCTACTAGCTGAGGAGTTTCAAAAGTTTGCTCGCTAATTTGGCTGCTGCAGAGGCTATCTGATGTATTTTAGAGTAAGTAATCAAGTCCTTTTTATTTCTTTTTATTTCCAAGACCTTTCAATACCGCAGGCATCTTGTTATGGTTACAGCTAGTGGATCTGTTTGCTCTAGAAACCTGTTTCCCTTCAAGGTCCTTAAGTATACATTATATTAACCCTTCAGTTCCTTTTATTTTATTTCGCACTGTATATTGTGTTGGACGTGGCTGCATTGCAGTTTGTTGGTCGCTCAATGTCAGTGTTTTTAACTTTTAGCATATTATTATTATTTATATTTAATATTATATAATATTTATATATTATAATATATATTTAATATTACAGATGATTGTATTTTCTGGTTGGCAGTTTATCTTGTTTCAAAAAAGTTATTTTTTTTTCAGTAGGGTAAGCCCCTTTTTCAACTATTTTCATTTTCATTCAGCTGGGATAAATTCGTCCCCAGACTCCTCTCATTTTATACGTCATCATGCTGACGATTACCTTTGACGTGAGCGGCCAAAAAAAAAAAAAAAAAATTCAAACTTTTTGCGGGCCTCATCCATGACCAAAGGAATTTTTGTCTCCTAGCTGAGGAGTTTCCATTTATTTTGCTCGCTAATTTGTCTGCTACAGAGGCTATCTGATGTATTCTAGAGTAAGTAATCAAGTATTTTTTATTTCTTTTTATTTCCAAGATCTTTCAGTAGTTTCATGTGTCAATACCGCAGGCATCTTGTTACGGTTATAGCTAGTGGGTCTGTTTGCTCTAGAAACCTGTTTCCCTTCAAGGTCCTTAACTATATATTATATTAACCCTTCAGTTCCTCTTACTTTATTTTGCACTGTATATTTGTGTTGCACGTGGCTGCATTGCAGTTGTTGGTCGCTCAGAATCGGTGCTTTTTCTAACAATTAGCTATTAACCATTTTTACTGATTTGTTTTAATGCTTACAGACTCTCATTCACACACACACCCTCCCTGCCCACCCTACCCACTATTTTAGTGGAGACTTGGGAACGCCTTCATTAGGGATTCCATACCACACCTGCAATGCCGCAAAGGTTGCTTTTTTTTTAAAAAAACCTAAACTTTCTCAATTTGACTTAATTCCTCTCACAGCTTTACGTCCAAATTCCCCACGGGTGCTTTCCTCGCTGGCGTCGCAGAAGTAATTTAACCTCGGTTAGTAACGTCTGTACCCTGGGTGCCAGGGGTTTTTCTCGCGTGCGGCAGGAATTTTTCGGTGTTGGCTGAAGGCCGAAGCCACGAGCGGCGCGCGAGTCACTATAAAGACTTGACAGAAACCGGAAACCGCGCTAGAAAAGTCTCTGGCACCCAGGGTATAACGTCTGCGAGGCAGCGCCAAGATCCTTTTTCTCGGCCCCCGACGGACTCAACGAATTACCAGAAGTGCGTTTCGAATTTCCCTTCATCCTGATTGGCATATCGACAATGGTTTTTTTTTAACGGGCCAATCATGGCACGTACTCAAATCCGGGTACACAGGTGGGGACGCAGAACAAGGATTTTGGCGCGGTTTTCTCAGACGGACTTATCCAGAGGTTAGTTTCGACTGTGGTGCAAGCTAGAGCTTTTGTGGTCTTCGAAGACAATCGCGCTAGACAAATCCTGACAGCTAGGAGGGCTACCTGTGTTACGGCAGTTTAAGTCTATTTTGTTTAGAAACGGACAAGAGAGAATGTTTTACATTTTACGTATTACAGCCGCTAAAGTGACACTGCACCTGAAGAAGGATTGGATTAAAAATCTCAACAACAATTTCCCCCTACGTGTCGTTTTCTCACTCTTTTCTCGGTGTTTAATATGTGATGAAACACTCCAGCTGGTGTTTGACATATTACGTATTACGTCCCCGATAGCGACACATGCCCTAAGAAGAATTAGACTAAAACAACTCAATACAACCTCAGCTACTGCCTGTGAATAAGGAGCGAAATGTACGCATCCTGTTTAGTTCATAAGACACTATCAGGAGTTAAACCTGCCATGAGTGATGGCTACTATCAGTAGCTTCATTAAAGTTTAATTATTCCGTATTTCTTTAGTGTTGTGTCCACTTAATCGTCTTCAAGTCGATTCCTTCTTGAACCATTTCCCATAAAGGACTGCAAGTAATAAATAACATGAGATGTGATGGTGGTAGAGAGTAAGCTGCAAAAGCCAGGGCGACTATTTTATTTTTAGGAGCCCAAGCGTGTGCGGGCTTTCAATAGAAAGGAGAGATTTATTCTCATAACTGTCACAAACTTCATAATACCAATATGCTTTCGGCGAATAAATCACCACAGATTATAAATGTCAGGCTATCCAATCCATACATTGATACGTCGAAGCCGTTTAGAGATCCATATCTATTGTTTGAAAGCTTAACGTCGATGTCACACACTGATATCAGAATCCTTTATGTGAACTTGACATCGCGGAACGAGACATGTAATGCGTAACTCTTATTAATGAAGCAAGAAACTCGCAAGAAACTGAATAAATGAATGATTTTGCTCTATTTCGCTATTTCCTACTAAGTATTTTATAGAAATCGCATGCGGGGAGTCTAAAGACAGAAAGAGCCAAATATTTAAACGAAGTCTAACTTAAGCCGCGGTTTAATGAATCTTTGAACCTCCAGATCTTTTCTTTGGTGGGTTGTTTTTCTAGTCTTCTCTATTATGATTTCACAAAACTGTTCACAATAAATGATGTTTAGATAAAATCGTTGGGCAAATTGAAAATGACTTAGAAGGCGGTTTTGTTAAACACTGGCTAAACTACGTTTAAATGTTTGGCCCTAGGCGTTTATTGGAAAGGGGCGTCTAGTACAAATTTAAAAGCGTAGGGACGAGGGGGAATGTTTATTAATGACCGACATCAAACAGAGCGGGGGGACCTGTAGTGTCAAATATAACTTGTTAGACAAGAAGCGTTTATCTGAGGGAGGGCGCGTCTATTAACTCGTTTACGGTAAGGCACGGTTCGGACGCCAAACTAAACCTGAACAGAACCTAATAAATTGAATTTCTGGAAAGGTCGGCGTCTAAATCAGTTAGGAACGCCTATTTCAATTTCGAACGGCTCAGCCCCACCAAGCCCGGTCGGAAATTTCGACTTTGAAGCGACTTTGGAGGCAACGTGGCCGAGCGGTTAGAGCGTCGGACTTGGAATCCTAAAGCCCCGAGTTCAAGTCCCACTCTGACCGTTAGCTGGATTTGTTCTTGGTAGTACCGAGTTCAAATCCTCGGCCACGATTGTAAATAGCCAACTGGTTCGCCTCCTACCTGTTGGGATTTGGGATTCGTAAAAATATTATGTTCTATTTGAATTATTGTTTTATTATCCCTGAAAAGCCCAATAAGGGGAGTGGATATTTAAGTATTTACTATTTATTATTTTTACTTTGGAACGTCTGATTCGGGCGGCGAACTTTTCATCTGCCGAACCTAATGCATATATTGTTATAAGGTCCGAATGTAATCCACTTTAGTTGTGATTTAACTCCTATTATAAAACCTCATTCCTTGTCGTTTATGCCAGGGGATTATAAACAATTATTGGATGAGGTTTATGTGATATCCAGAATAATCAAGGTCGAGGAAGGGGTTATCAGCCGAAGCCGAAGGCTGAGGCTGATAACCCTTACTGAATCGACCTTGATTATTCTGGATATCACAAAAACCGAATCTAATAATTGTTTTATTATACATTGAACGAATCCTTTCTTTCTCGCTTCGACCTGAAATGTTTTCAGTTTGTACCAACTCTTTCTTTTCCTCAGGTTCTCTCAGTTTTTTCTCTTTCACATAAATCAGCAAACAGCTCCTTTGCCACCTTCGTCGACCAGTTTTGTTTTTGTGAGTCCTTGTCTTCAACTATTTTTTCGATGTCTTGCTCGGTCAACGACTCGGAAGCAAACCTGGAAGTCTAGGTTCATTCTCCTCGGATGAAGCCTTACAAATTGGCGGATTATTATCATTATTATTTCTAATGCCTGGAAATTAGAAACAATTGTCCGAACCATTTTCAAGATTTCAACTTGGAAAGTTTTTGTTAAAAATATGTTTGCAATGAACAACCTGACCGATTTCCGTAAAACGGAGGAGACCGGTGTGGATCCGCGCCTGAGACTGGTTATGAAAGCCGGCAAACATCAAAGTTGAAAACAACAGTGTTGTAGTCTATGATAGAAGCTCCCTAACCGTCACAACCCTTTGTTTTTTGTTTACAAATTGTGACTGAGTAAATTAATTTGATGTTCCTACTGGTCAGTAAACTCAAAATGATAGGAATGCTCTTAAACGTTGTGCAAGGTCAGGTCCAAAGGAGCTAACAAAAACATATTACGATGGAGTCTAACGAGTTTCATAACCATTTCACTTTAATCAAAAAGAAGATTTATTCTTAGACGGCATAAACTGGTAACTCAACAATAACGCCTTCATCTTTCTTTGAATTTGCTATTGATAATGCTGTTCATTCTTGAGTTCATTTATTATTGTTCTTTTTTCACTTTCGTGTAAGTACTTCATTTCAGTTTCTACTGTTTCAACCAGGTCGTAACGCTGTTAACATAGGTTTACGACTTCCTGTTCAAAACAACTTTCAATAGAAACCTAAAGGAACGATACAGCGAAACCGATTGTCAGAAAGTGGTCGGTGTCGCTTCATATTCAGAGCTAGACTCGGAGCAAAACTCGTGAGGATATTTATATTGAGAATCACACGTCGTCAGTTTACGAGTGGGTTATTCGTTGAGAAAAATGCATAGTATTTTCGCTGGTCTTGCCTTCATTCTTACTTCCTCTCAAATAACCCTCATCAAAGGCGATTGTGGAAGAAATGGTTACGGCGATGATACTGAAAGACGCGCGATGTCTTATAATCCTGAACTGTCGTACAAGATGGCGATTCTCTCAGCGGTAACATATGATCAATCTGACCCTCAGTATTGTCTTGATCAATACCTGCCATCAACCAAATTTCAACTTCAAACAGTTGTTACAAAGAACTGTGACTTCCTCGATAACAAGTGTGCTGGTTATGTAGCGGTTTCGCATTCTTTGCGAGTGTTGGTCGTCGCGTTTCGTGGAACTGAAAGCATATGTCAACTTATCAATGAATTGGTAGCGACCATTCTTACCCCACCCCAAGATGTTCTTAATGGCAAAGTTCAGGCCTATTTCAAGACGGCCTTTGAAGATTTATGGCAGTGCATGGAGCCGATAGTGAAAGCTCTACTTTCAAAGAATCCCTCGTATCAGGTCTGGGTTACAGGACATTCTCTGGGTGCTGCCTTAGCGTCCTTGGCGAGTGCTTGGCTTGCTTATTACAACATCGCTCCACGTCAAAACATCATCTTATACACGTTTGGGAGCCCTAGAGTTGGCGACTACAAATACGCTCTGCAACACGATCAAATAGTCAACAACAGTTGGAGAGTTGTTATTGACAACGACATAGTTCCTCATCTACCGCCCTTATTTTGGCTACCACTTATAAAATATGGTCCCTATCACCACGGTGTGGAGGTGTTTTACAGCAAAAAAACCAAACTGTCACAAACTTCATAATACCAATATGCTTTCGGCGAATAAATCACCACAGATTATAAATGTCAGGCTATCCAATCCATACATTGATACGTCGAAGCCGTTTAGAGATCCATATCTATTGTTTGAAAGCTTAACGTCGATGTCACACACTGATATCAGAATCCTTTATGTGAACTTGACATCGCGGAACGAGACATGTAATGCGTAACTCTTATTAATGAAGCAAGAAACTCGCAAGAAACTGAATAAATGAATGATTTTGCTCTATTTCGCTATTTCCTACTAAGTATTTTATAGAAATCGCATGCGGGGAGTCTAAAGACAGAAAGAGCCAAATATTTAAACGAAGTCTAACTTAAGCCGCGGTTTAATGAATCTTTGAACCTCCAGATCTTTTCTTTGGTGGGTTGTTTTTCTAGTCTTCTCTATTATGATTTCACAAAACTGTTCACAATAAATGATGTTTAGATAAAATCGTTGGGCAAATTGAAAATGACTTAGAAGGCGGTTTTGTTAAACACTGGCTAAACTACGTTTAAATGTTTGGCCCTAGGCGTTTATTGGAAAGGGGCGTCTAGTACAAATTTAAAAGCGTAGGGACGAGGGGGAATGTTTATTAATGACCGACATCAAACAGAGCGGGGGGACCTGTAGTGTCAAATATAACTTGTTAGACAAGAAGCGTTTATCTGAGGGAGGGCGCGTCTATTAACTCGTTTACGGTAAGGCACGGTTCGGACGCCAAACTAAACCTGAACAGAACCTAATAAATTGAATTTCTGGAAAGGTCGGCGTCTAAATCAGTTAGGAACGCCTATTTCAATTTCGAACGGCTCAGCCCCACCAAGCCCGGTCGGAAATTTCGACTTTGAAGCGACTTTGGAGGCAACGTGGCCGAGCGGTTAGAGCGTCGGACTTGGAATCCTAAAGCCCCGAGTTCAAGTCCCACTCTGACCGTTAGCTGGATTTGTTCTTGGTAGTACCGAGTTCAAATCCTCGGCCACGATTGTAAATAGCCAACTGGTTCGCCTCCTACCTGTTGGGATTTGGGATTCGTAAAAATATTATGTTCTATTTGAATTATTGTTTTATTATCCCTGAAAAGCCCAATAAGGGGAGTGGATATTTAAGTATTTACTATTTATTATTTTTACTTTGGAACGTCTGATTCGGGCGGCGAACTTTTCATCTGCCGAACCTAATGCATATATTGTTATAAGGTCCGAATGTAATCCACTTTAGTTGTGATTTAACTCCTATTATAAAACCTCATTCCTTGTCGTTTATGCCAGGGGATTATAAACAATTATTGGATGAGGTTTATGTGATATCCAGAATAATCAAGGTCGAGGAAGGGGTTATCAGCCGAAGCCGAAGGCTGAGGCTGATAACCCTTACTGAATCGACCTTGATTATTCTGGATATCACAAAAACCGAATCTAATAATTGTTTTATTATACATTGAACGAATCCTTTCTTTCTCGCTTCGACCTGAAATGTTTTCAGTTTGTACCAACTCTTTCTTTTCCTCAGGTTCTCTCAGTTTTTTCTCTTTCACATAAATCAGCAAACAGCTCCTTTGCCACCTTCGTCGACCAGTTTAGTTTTTGTGAGTCCTTGTCTTCAACTATTTTTTCGATGTCTTGCTCGGTCAACGACTCGGAAGCAAACCTGGAAGTCTAGGTTCATTCTCCTCGGATGAAGCCTTACAAATTGGCGGATTATTATCATTATTATTTCTAATGCCTGGAAATTAGAAACAATTGTCCGAACCATTTTCAAGATTTCAACTTGGAAAGTTTTTGTTAAAAATATGTTTGCAATGAACAACCTGACCGATTTCCGTAAAACGGAGGAGACCGGTGTGGATCCGCGCCTGAGACTGGTTATGAAAGCCGGCAAACATCAAAGTTGAAAACAACAGTGTTGTAGTCTATGATAGAAGCTCCCTAACCGTCACAACCCTTTGTTTTTTGTTTACAAATTGTGACTGAGTAAATTAATTTGATGTTCCTACTGGTCAGTAAACTCAAAATGATAGGAATGCTCTTAAACGTTGTGCAAGGTCAGGTCCAAAGGAGCTAACAAAAACATATTACGATGGAGTCTAACGAGTTTCATAACCATTTCACTTTAATCAAAAAGAAGATTTATTCTTAGACGGCATAAACTGGTAACTCAACAATAACGCCTTCATCTTTCTTTGAATTTGCTATTGATAATGCTGTTCATTCTTGAGTTCATTTATTATTGTTCTTTTTTCACTTTCGTGTAAGTACTTCATTTCAGTTTCTACTGTTTCAACCAGGTCGTAACGCTGTTAACATAGGTTTACGACTTCCTGTTCAAAACAACTTTCAATAGAAACCTAAAGGAACGATACAGCGAAACCGATTGTCAGAAAGTGGTCGGTGTCGCTTCATATTCAGAGCTAGACTCGGAGCAAAACTCGTGAGGATATTTATATTGAGAATCACACGTCGTCAGTTTACGAGTGGGTTATTCGTTGAGAAAAATGCATAGTATTTTCGCTGGTCTTGCCTTCATTCTTACTTCCTCTCAAATAACCCTCATCAAAGGCGATTGTGGAAGAAATGGTTACGGCGATGATACTGAAAGACGCGCGATGTCTTATAATCCTGAACTGTCGTACAAGATGGCGATTCTCTCAGCGGTAACATATGATCAATCTGACCCTCAGTATTGTCTTGATCAATACCTGCCATCAACCAAATTTCAACTTCAAACAGTTGTTACAAAGAACTGTGACTTCCTCGATAACAAGTGTGCTGGTTATGTAGCGGTTTCGCATTCTTTGCGAGTGTTGGTCGTCGCGTTTCGTGGAACTGAAAGCATATGTCAACTTATCAATGAATTGGTAGCGACCATTCTTACCCCACCCCAAGATGTTCTTAATGGCAAAGTTCAGGCCTATTTCAAGACGGCCTTTGAAGATTTATGGCAGTGCATGGAGCCGATAGTGAAAGCTCTACTTTCAAAGAATCCCTCGTATCAGGTCTGGGTTACAGGACATTCTCTGGGTGCTGCCTTAGCGTCCTTGGCGAGTGCATCGCTTGCTTATTACAACATCGCTCCACGTCAAAACATCATCTTATACACGTTTGGGAGCCCTAGAGTTGGCGACTACAAATACGCTCTGCAACACGATCAAATAGTCAACAACAGTTGGAGAGTTGTTATTGACAACGACATAGTTCCTCATCTACCGCCCTTATTTTGGCTACCACTTATAAAATATGGTCCCTATCACCACGGTGTGGAGGTGTTTTACAGCAAAAAAACCCTCAATGTGCATTCTGCACACAGAGAGTGTCACGGAACACCGCACGACGAGGACAAATCATGCAGCCGCAGCAAGTCACCGTTCAAAACTCTGCAAGATTCCATTAAGCAGCATCGTACATACTTCAACATTACATTCGGAACTTTATGTGAAGGATCTGTCAGCTCACGTTACACCTCAAAAAAGACGCGGTTCCAGTTTCGTGAAGATCGTTGTACGACCTACATGTTTGATTAAGCTTTTACTGTAAAATTGGTCTCATACAGAGCATCAATTTTAGTAGAATAGGTCAACAGATACTGTAAACTTCCGATTATATGCCCGCCACTTATAAGCCTCCCTCCTCTAATAAGAACGGCTACTGATATTTTACCTACTTTCAAAGTTTTAAAAAACGAAATACTGTTATAGATGATTATATTTTCTGGTTGGCAGTTTATCTTCTTTAAAAGTTATTTTTTAAGATGGGTAATCCGCCCTTTTCCCACCTATTTTCTTCTTCATTCAGCTGGAATAAATTCGTCCCCAAACTCCTCTCATTTTGAACATCATAATAAGAACAGCAACTGGTTTTTTACCTACTTTCAAAGTTTTAAAGAACGGAACAATATTACAGATGATTGTATTTTCTGGTTGGCAGTTTATCTTGTTTCAAAAAAGTTATTTTTTTTCAGTAGGGTAAGCCCCTTTTTCAACTATTTTCATTTTCATTCAGCTGGGATAAATTCGTCCCCAGACTCCTCTCATTTTATACGTCATCATGCTGACGATTACCTTTGACGTGAGCGGCCAAAAAAAAAAAAAAAAAATTCAAACTTTTTGCGGGCCTCATCCATGACCAAAGGAATTTTTGTCTCCTAGCTGAGGAGTTTCCATTTATTTTGCTCGCTAATTTGTCTGCTACAGAGGCTATCTGATGTATTCTAGAGTAAGTAATCAAGTATTTTTTATTTCTTTTTATTTCCAAGATCTTTCAGTAGTTTCATGTGTCAATACCGCAGGCATCTTGTTACGGTTATAGCTAGTGGGTCTGTTTGCTCTAGAAACCTGTTTCCCTTCAAGGTCCTTAACTATATATTATATTAACCCTTCAGTTCCTCTTACTTTATTTTGCACTGTATATTGTGTTAGACGTGGCTGCATTGCAGTTTGTTGGTCGCTCAATATCGGTGCTTTTTCCAACAATTAACTATTAAACATTTTTACTGATTTGTTTTTATGCCTCTGACAACACTCTCATTTACACACACCCTCCCTTCCCACCCTACCCGCTATTTTAGTAGAGACTTGGGAACCCTTTCATTAGCGATTCCATACCACATTTGCAATGCCACAAAGGTTACTAGAGAAACTACAGTTTTTTTTTTGAAAACCTAAACTATCTCAATTTGACTTAATTCCTCTCGCAGCTTTACGTCCAAATTCCCCACGGGTGCTTTCCTCACTAGCGTCGCAGAAGTAATTTAACCTCGGTTAGTAACGTCTGTACCCTGGGTGCCAGAGGTTTTTCTCGCGTGCGGCGGGAATTTTCGGTGTTGGCCGAAGGCCGAAGCCACGAGCGGCGCGCCGGTCACTTTAAAGACTTGACAGAAACCGGAAACCGCGCCAGAAAAGTCTCTGGCATCCAGGGTATAACGTCTGCGAGGCACCGCCAAGATCCTTTTTCTGGGCCCCCGACGGACTCAACGAATTACCGGAAGTGCGTTTCGAATTTCCTTTCATCCTGATTGGCAAATCGGCAATGGTTTTTTTTAACGGGCCAATCATGGCACGTACTCAAATCCGGGTACACAGGTGGGGACGCAGAACAAGGATTTTGGCGCGGTTTTCCTAGACGGACTTATCCAGAGGTTAGTTTCGACTGTAGTGCAAGCTAGAGCTATTGTGGTCTTTGAAGACAATCGCGCTAGACAAATCCTGACGGCTAGGAAGGCTAACTGTGTTACGGCAATTTAAGTCTATTTTGTTTAGAAACGGACAAGAGAGAATGTTTTACATTTTACGTATTACAGCCGCTAAAGTGCCACTGCACCTGAAGAAGGATTGGATTAAAACAACTCAATACAATCTCAGCTACTGCCTGTGAATAAGAAGCGAAATGTACGCATCCTGTTTAGTTCATAAGACACTATCGGGAGTTAAACCTGCCATGAGTGATGGCTACTATCAGTAGCTTCATTAAAGTTTAATTATTCCGTATTTCTTTAGTGTTGTGTCCACTTAATCGTCTTCAAGTCGATTCCTTCTTGAACCATTTCCCATAAAGGACTGCAAGTAATAAATAACATGAGATGTGATGATGGTAGAGAGTAAGCTGCAAAAGCCAGGGCGACTATTTTATTTTTAGGAGCCCAAGCGTGTGCGGGTTTTAATAAAAAGGAGGGATTTGTTCTCATAACTGTCACAAACTTCATAATACCAATATGCTTTCGGCGAATAAATCACCACAGATTATAAATGTCAGGCTATCCAATCCATACATTGATACGTCGAAGCCGTTTAGAGATCCATATCTATTGTTTGAAAGTTTTACTTCGATGTCACACACTGATATCAGAATCCTTTGTGTGAACTTGACATCGCGGAACGAGAGATGTAATGCGTAACTCTTATTAATGAAGCAAGAAACTCGCAAGAAACTGAATAAATGAATGATTTTGCTCTATTTCGCTATTTCCTGCTAAGTATTTTAGAGCAATGGCATGCGGGGAGTCTAAAGACAGAAGGAGCCAAATCTTTAAACGAAGTCTAACTTAAGCCGCGGTTTAATGAATCTTTGAACCTCCAGATCTTTTCTTTGGTGGGTTGTTTTAAAGAAGATAAATACTTTTCTAGTATTCTCTATTATGATTTCACAAAACTGTTCACAATAAATGATGTTTAGATAAAATCGTTGGGCAAATTGAAAATGACTTAGAACGCGGTTTAGTTAAACACTGGCTAAACTACGTTTAAATATTTGGCCCAAGGTGTTCATTAGAAAGGGGCGTCTAGTACAAACTTAAAAGCGTGGGGGCGAGGGGGAATGTTTCTTAATGACCGACAACAAACAGAGCGGGGGCACCTGTAGTGTCAACTATTACTAGTTAGACAAGAGGCGTTTATTTGAGAGAGGGCGTCTATTAACTCATTTACGGTAAGGCCCGGTTCAGACGCCAAACTAAACCTGAGCAGAACCTAATACATTGAATTAAGTACATGAAAAGGTCGGCGTCGGAATCAGTTAGGAACGCCTATTTCAATTTCGAACGGCTCAGCCACACCTAGCCCGGTCGGAAATTTCGACTTTGAAGCGACTTTGGAGGCAGCGTGGCCGAGTGGTTAGAGATGTGGACTTGTAATCCTAAAGCCCCGAGTTCAAGTCCCACCCTGACCGCTAGCTGGATTTATTCATCTGCCGAACCTAATGCATATTTATAAAGAATTTTGCAAGAACTGTTACCGAAATGCGCATTTTTGTCCTTTGAATTTAGTTGGGCTTGAATTAAGATCGGCGTCTGAATCAATTCAGCCGGTCTAAATAATTTGGGTCGACCTTAATTCCAATTAGGTTCGGCTCAAGAAAAGTTAGGCGTCTGAAATGGGCCTAAGATAAGAGACCTATTCGTAGGACGACGAATGGAACTTGTAATCATTGACACTAACCTCATTTCACGAAGTCGCTTCACATGTTTGATGGTTTTGTCCACAGTGTAATCGATTTCTTCTTCAGTGGTGAATCGCCCGATGCCAAACCTTGCGGGTACAAAAACAGAATATATATAACAGGGGGCGTATACAAGCAGTTTTAGAGACCTTAAGGATCGGTATTTAAACGAGGTCTAACCCACTTGAACCGCGGTTTAAGAAATCTTTGGACCTTCAGATCTCCTCCTTGGTGTGTTATTTTAAGAATATAAATGCTTTTCTAGTGTACACTATATGCTTTAATGAAACTGTCCACGACAATTGGTGCTTAGACAAAAGCGTTCGGCAAACTGAAAATGACTTAGAACGCGGTTTTGTTAAACACTGGTTAAACTCCGTTAACCGGCCCTGGGATTCGAAGGTGGCGAGAAAACGTGATAGCCGTCATCATTCTACAACAAGTATTAGCGAGAATGTTGTAATAGCGGAAACAAGTTATCAAATGTTGGAAGTTTTATCATTTTAGGGTCGAGAGGGGGCTTAATCTCCTTCAATAAAAATAATAGTGCCAACTTTTCTGGAGGAGAGTAGTACAATGAAGCATTCCGGGGTGTCTATTTTTTGAGAATACGCGAAAAAACTTTAAGTTAAATCTCGTCCTTGTAGTCTTTCCCCTTCTCAAATTTAAAGGTCTCTCTCGTGTGTGACCGAGCGGTTAACACCTCGATCTCTGGATCCCCTGGAGGTCCGGGGTTCAAGCCTCGCCCGTTGGGTTGTTTCCTTAGACAAGGAACTTTACTCCACCTTGTCTATCTTCACCCAAGTGTATAAATGGGTACCGGTGACATACTGCTGGGGGTAACCCTGCGATGAACTAGCATCCCGGCTATCGGGGAGTAGCAATATTCCTAGGCATGCTTCATGCTACGAAAACCGGTATAAGCTCAAACCGTTTTGGGCCTTTGGCTCGAGTGCGCCTTCACCTTTTTTTAATGATAAAATCAAAAACCAACGTTTTCTTTGCAACAATTGCGCCTTATGTCCAGGTTTGCACGCAGCAGCGCGTTAGTTGCGATTTTTCGCAGTTCTATGTCATGTTAATAATCACTGAAGTCCAGAGCGAGTTGCCGATTTATATCTCATGTACAATCATTTACTGAACATTAACAATGAACTTAACATTAAAATGCTGCCTAGCGACGAAAATAAGCAAAAGAACACTGACGGCCATTTTAGTTTTTTGCTGTTGTTTGTTTGTTTTCATGTTTTTTTCTTTTTCAAACGGAGTTTACGGGCTGTTATATACAAAAATACGGTCAAAACCAAACTAACGAACCAATCACGAATAAACAGTTTCATAAAGAAAGCACATAACAGATAAGAAAAAAAGAAAACATTAATCGACTCAGAAGACAAAGAGCAAAAACGATCAAGGGTCTCAGTTGTCTTATATAGCGGTCAATGTGAGCCTGCGTTTATTGCACGTTCACACGTTTCTTTTTTAATTTCGTCTACAAACGTATTTCTTTTAGTTGTTGATTACATTATTTAGCACAGTTCCCATTGTTCCCAATAGGCCCATTGCAGCTAGCCATTCACCTGGTACAAAACCGCCGTGTTGGAGAGCAAAAGTCGCACAGGGACGAGACAAAGGAAATAACCATTTAAAATCATGTATGTCTCTTGTCTGCCTTGTCCCGGTGCGACGTTCGCTCTCCAGCAAGGCGGTTTTGTACCACGTGAATGGCTAGCGGAAAAAGGCCTTTTTGGGATCATTAGCCACTCCTTGTGAATTTCATACCACTTGAGGCCGATCATGGCCGCTCGTGGCTGCTTTTTTCGTTTTGTTATGTGTGAGGTTTATATATTTCTTACCTAAGTTTAATTTCTACTTATGCTTTTGCTTGGCTCTTAGAGATCTGACTCACTTTACTTTGTTAACTTTTGCTGGCATATCTTGAGTTAGCTCTTTTTCCGCATATATCCCTTATTTTGGTACTTTTGCTGTAACTCTTATTCGTATAATAGGGACCTTAAGATGCGAGGACAGCGACAGCAGGTAAAACGTCGCTTAGAAAGTAAGTTCGCGGTTTTTTAATCTTCATCGCGATTATTCCAACTCACTTACTTTGTCGAATGTATGCGAACCCTCCTGCAGTTGAATTGCTAAGAGCCTTATCCAAAGTAAGACAGAGAAAGAAAATTTCGTCGTTGCTTGTTTACATCCTCTATAAAGCATGAAAGTAGGTATTTTCACGTCGTAGTCGTGCAGTGACGGCAAAAAAATGCACAAGGAAGCGTGATGCACGTGCAAAGTTTTTGTTTTGCTAATTAAACCTGTTGCTTTTTTGAGGTTCTCGTTGCCGTCGCCGTCGTCTGATTTTAAGGTCCCTGATAGACTTGACTGCTGCGGCCCCCTCCATGTATCACTGTGGTGTCCTGTCTGTTGATACTTATCACAGCAATATTTTCTATTCGGCTGAGCGGAGCGACAGGGAATAGAACTGGACTCTCTAACACTAGGACCCGTCCCAGGCCTCAACAGGACAGACAAAATAACAAGGCCTAAGTACTACTGCGCTGGTTTTAGTACCTGATAGAAGAGTGGGCGAGATCGTCATCAGCTCCAATCGCTCGCAGCACATAGGAAGGCTCCAGTGAAGCTGAGGTGCATGCGCTGGAAAGAAAGATTACAATAAATACTATTAATCTGAAAGAGGCCAAAGGAAAAAACAGAGGCAAATAACTTTCCTGTGCAACGAACTCAAGCGGGGCAGCCCAAACGTAAATAACTGAGCCAATCAAAGGTCACGGTCACAATAAAGACGTCTGACTTTGTTAGTTCGTTGGCCAATCAAAAACGACAACATTTATTAAAAGTTCGGTGTCTGTAGGCATTGGGCACTTGGCATTCCACGCGAGTAATTTTAAATGGTCTTCGCTCTTAAGTGTCAACAAACCGAAACTCTAGTAATAAACATTTTTCATATGTTACAAAAAAGAAATGGCACCATCTGAGTGGTTAGACCGTAAGCTTTCATGCAGACTCAGAAGTTAGAACTGCATACTAAATAAATAGTAACATGTGAAAGTACTGCTGAACAGGTTTCATTTGTGGTCACACCATAGGATTTCATCTACAGACTCAGAATACATACTAGAGAAATAGTAACAAGTGAAAGTACTGTTGGAGAGGTTTTCTTTAAAAGGTAACTCCATGGGATTTCATGCACAGACTCAAAAGTTAGATTCACCATTTTCACTTAGGCCGTAATGCACCTTTTTTACCACCCCTCACCCCGAAAAAAAATTTTTTCGCATAACCATTGTCTTCGACTTCTCCCTGGATATGGTCTATGTCAAAATGGTGAGTTGTTTCACACGAAAGGCAATCTGTGTACCCACCTGCCTGACGAGAGTGCTACATCCTTAAGCGCCATCAAAAGACTTTCGCCTTCCACAAACGCGAAGGACAAGTTCACACATCCGGGATAAGAGTGATCCGGGTCACCGTTCCTGACCACGTGAGTTAACCTGGATGTAATGCCATTCACCAGACGAGTTGACAGTTCTACGGTCCTTTTATGGTCATACTGTTAAAAATACAAACCAAATAGTCTCTTGTAAATAAATACCACCAGACAACAATCACGTGACCACTTAGTAGGCTCCGGACAGGATTGAGTTTTATCTCGTATTGATAGCAAATTTTCACTTTGATTTCTTTCACAAACTTCCACAGTAAAAGCTTAGCAGTCAAACCTCCCGTAAGCAACCACCCAAAATGCGAAGATTTAGTGGTCGCTCACGGGAGGTGGTTTCTTGCGAGAATCGAACCAGAGGGGTTCTCTTCTGAGAAGACGTCCAAACACATCTACTTTTTACAAGAGAATTCGTTGCATGCAATTTCTTATGAACGACATGTGTAGTTTCATGTTGCCACTTAAAGTTCTTTGCCTTAATCTGAGTAGCCTAGTAAATACAGCGAACATAGAGATTAAAATGAAAGGCTCAAAGTAGTCGCTTACAAGTAGCCTTTAACGCGAACATTCTTAGGGGTTCGTCACGCGTTCCTGAGGGTTGCGTGACAAGGCAAAAGAACGTCTGGGAGGGAGGCTACTTACAGGAGGATAAAAAACAATGAAAAATTCGAAAACTGTCGTCCAAAAAAGTGGTCACGCAAAAGTGGTCACGCCTTTGTCACTAACGAGAGATGGTCGTTTACGAGAGGATTTGACTAGGAAAATGTTGGTGGTTTCGATAAGTGTAATAAAGGTGGACACTTATGCCAGAGGGTCGGTTACGAGAGGTGTTCGCACATGGATGTTTGACTGCATTTAGTGTTATTTGTAATTTAAAGTTAGATTGCAGGTTGAAAGTGTATCCGTGAACCTCCAAATCTGTTGATAACTAGCTCACACATGTAAGTAGATAATTGTCTTATAGTTAGCCGGCGGGAAAGCACTCTTGGCGATCTCTGGGTTGGACTCGAGGGACGGGGGTAGGGTCGGGGGGGGGGGGGGGGAAGAGAGTCTCCCTCCCCAAAGCCCCCCCCCCCCCCCCCCCCCCACACACAACCCCGGGGGGGGCCGGGGGCACCTTGTTTGCAGGACATGGTTTTGTCTTGGCTTTTATTTGTTTCTTGACATTTGGGGACAAAAAAAAGATTTTTTATTTTTTGTGTTCCCAAAAGGGATATTTGTTATAAGAGAGTGGTAGGGATGGTGGTAAGAATAGTCGACTAAAACCAAACATGTTGGAAATAAACACGCACAATTGAAAAGAGTATTGTTTCGGAGTGGGGGGGGGGGGGGAGGCCCGGGGGGCGGGGCGGGGGGGGGGCGGGGGGGGGGGGGGGGGGGGGGGGGGGGGGGGGGAGGAAGAGAGTCTCTCTCCCCAAAGCCCCCGCCCCCCCCTCCTCCCCACACACAATCCCGTGCGAGGCCAGGGACATCTTGTTTGCAGGCTATGTTTTAGTCATGGCTATTAATGTGTTCATGACATTGTGGACAATAAAACAAATGTTTGATTTTTGAGTTGCCAAAATGCGATGAAAGTGGTTTTAATCACAGCCTTGAATGGAAATATAAGTCAATCTTTACTAGTGTAACACCATGGCCAGTTTGTGAAAAAAGAACACAGAATGGCGGCCAAATATTTTCTTACGTCAAAAATACCAGCTTCCGGTCAGTATTTCCTAGGAAGTCTCACAACTACACCCTGTCTTTTATACGCCAATAGAGAGAAGAAGTCGTTACGTCACGTTGCCATGGTAGCAAAATTTCTGGACCTCAACAAACCGTGGTACTGCAAATATTGCAGGAAAAAAACGAAAAAATTAACATGTACGACTTTCCTGTGTATGACTGCACTCAAGAACAAAACGGTAGCCCATACTTTTCTTCCATCGTTCAACAATGCAAATGACCGTCTCTGTCAAGAAGGAGTGTTGGGATCCAGAAATTTTGCCACCATGGTAACATGACGTTTTGCTTCTCCTTTCTGTTAGGTTGATTTTGGATGATCCACGCACACACACTGGTGTTCCTCTGCATTGAAGGTATCAATAATTTGTCGTTACTAGTTTACCTCCAATTCATCCTTTGCAACCTCACAAGCAGCTCCAAGTCCTACCGCCAACACGTGAGGCACAGTACCACTGCGCATGCCCCTGAAATGAAACCAAAGGACCACAATCAAAAAATGGTTTGAGCATCGAAGGATTCATGTACAACAGAGAAAGTTCTTCCATGTTGAATCCCAAAATACAAAAGACAAACAGATTTTCAGCGGCTAAGGACTGAGCACCTTGTTTAGCTGGTGGAGCAGTTGGATGAAAAATGTATGTTTATTGCTATTTTTGTGCCCTAAATAACAAACGCTAAAATCCCCATACAAACCCTTATAATATTTCTGTTACGTAACGATTCTCACTTCTGAGGCTGGGGTACCTGTGGGGCTACCTGTGAATAGCCTTACATATCTTTCACAATGTACACTGAAAAACTTGTCAAGGTAAGAAACTAGTCAACTTTTCCGACCTGTACACATCTACTTCTCACGGAATAACCCTGTCTAGGATATAATATTTGTCTTGCTGATGGAAATGGGGCTAATGGCACATACCTCTCTTGTCCTCCGCCACTTTGAATGGGCTCCACTCTGACACGAGGTTTTCTTCGGATGTACAAAGCACCGACCCCTATGTACCAGTCATTTAGGAGTAATATTAGTACATGTAGGTTTCCTCAAAAGAAGCGTCTACAAAAACACTTCATCATCATCATCATCATTTATTAGCCTTTTTTTTACAGCAAATTTAACAGGATACAGCAGGTTGTTAGGCGAGGAGACCTCAAGAAACCACCAGGCTAATAAAGAGAGGCCACCTCGACATCGCAATATTATAAGAAATAAGGGCTGCGAAGAAGTGCGGCTAAACTAATTTAGTAACTATTTTAATAAAAACTCTAGCACTTTGTTCTTAAAGACAGAAAAGCTTGACAAGTTTGTAACAGATGCAGGAAGACAGTTCCAGATTCTAGGTCCTTGGTAAAGAATTGTGAATTTCTTGATGTTCGTACGACAGGAATGCACTCGATAATTAGTGGCTGTTCTTGTGTCATATCTATGGACTTGACTGTTTGTCCAATACATCCACGTCTACGGTGTAAAAGTAACCAGAACCCTCCAGGATTTCTTTGAACTTTTAAAAATGACAAGTTCGCAAATATTCGTCGATACTGCCAAAAAGAGTGTCTTAAATACATTTTGTAACCTTGCAAGGTTTAAAAGTGATACATGTACGTCAGAAACCAGCAAAGATGTAGCTCTGCAAACTCGCAAAATTTTACAGATGTTTATCGTTTTAAGTTTTCAGGATATTACCTTATTGGTTCCTAATTTCGTGTTTTCGCGAAATTAAAGACCCACGACTATAAAAAGCCCCGCGAAATTTATTACCCATATAGAAAACTCAAATCACACACAAAAAAGAATAACATTCAATAACTACAACATACACTGTACAGGGTATATTTGTCCACAAATAGCGACAAAATACTTATTAGCTGGTTTTACTGGTGCGTTCCATTCCGTGACTGTGTCTTCTGTTGTGAAATAACGTATGCGTTTTGCTTGTTTCATTTTATCTCGACATTTTAAAATGTTCAGAAGATTGAAAAATAAAATCAAGTTGAGAACGCTTGAACCGAGAAATTTAATGCCCTTTTTCATATTTACTTATTGAAATCGCGAAAATAAAACCCCGTGAAATACTACTTGCCAAAATCGCGAAATTAAGTACCAACGAAATTTTAAGGTACTCTCAAACTAGGCAGATTTGATGATTTGCCGGGCTCTTTCCGTGCCATGACCAATGGAGATGTAGCCTGCATGTCATGGTTATTAAAAATGACTCACGGGGATATTTGATTATGGCTGTAATTGTAATAGAAATGTAGAAGTGAAATGTAGAGATATGTGTACTGTTACAATGAAATGTACCTTTAGGTCCATAAATCTTGTGTCCACTGATTGACATCAAGTCAATATTCAATTCATTAACATCAACAGGAATCTTGCCAACTGCTTGTGCTGCATCTGTGTGGAAGAAGATTTTATTCTTACGGCAAAGGGCCCCTGTAAGACATAGAAAGCAGAATAGATAATGGTATGTTAACAGTCAGAACTCTTACCAATGAACTATACAGGTGGTACTGTAGTCCCTCCTTTTACTCACGGATAATAAAGCAAGTCACAAACACACATGAAAATTGCCACCAGCTGGAAGCGGACACGTGTCCAGGGGTACTTCCTATGATGGCCTATACAGTGAAGCTCCGGGGCGACTTTTCAGGCTTTTGGTATATTAAAGGCAGGAGATTTCACTAGCTGAAGTATATGAAAGGGTATGGAAATCTGTCATTTCAGTCGGTAAAAAGGCTCAAAAGGACCAACAAATGCATTGTAATAGTATGTCTGTGATAAAGTCAGGAAAAAGATCTGGTTTTGTGATTTCTTCATACTTTAAAGATAGTGCATTAACAGCAATTTAAATCATATAAAAGGATGCAAAGTTCTTAACTACTAGGTACGTCCATTTGTCAGTATAAGGTATACAAAAGGGGCGATAAGGGGAGGCCGCAATCCTAATCTCAAGGTTGTTATTACGCATGCGTCACATGTATGTAGCCAGGATTCGTTTGAACTTCAACTAAGAATGAATGGAATGTATAGAACGCAATTTGGTCACGTGCGTTTCGACCGTCTACGCCTGAGAATCTGATCACGCGTATTTTGACCATTTGTCACGTGAAACTTACGCAAAGTACAGCGTTGGAGCAAAGGCGTTTTAACCTTCGATCGTTGTCGCCCTCACTCCCTAATCTTTGATTATAACAAGTTATAAAAGGGCAAGGGGTTGGAACTCGGGGTGAAGACTTCCTTTGTACAAGTTTGTTGAGTAGCCCTTCACAGGAAAAGTCAATCTTATACATGACATTAAATTTGTTTTCTCCATTAAGACCTTACCAATTTCTTTGACAGGTTGTTTAACACCAATCTCATTATTGACTGTCATGATAGAGACGAGTGATGTGTCAGGCCTCATTGCTTCTTCAAGTTGCTGTATTGAGACAAAAACATAACTGAATACCTCAGACAACAGCTTTCACAAATCAGGGATAAGACCCTGACTCTACAGCGGTGCAGTATGATCTATTACAGGGCTGTACTCTAGCAGCGCCCAGTGGCCTGTGGAACCTTACTTCTGCGACTAGAAAATGTTACTTTTTTCATACAAATCATATGCTAGGCACCCTGGATTTGACAAGTTCAGAGCACTGGGCTCCCTTCAACTTTTCTCAGAGCACAGCCTTGTATTATGTTAAATGTATAATAAGACTGCAATCTTGATTACATGGGAGAAAAAGCTAGAGCTCTGGGCACCAGATTGAAGGAGCACCAAACTCGAACACCATCTACAGTTCATGAACATTGTTCGACATCAGGTCATTTTATTATGCCTGATACTTTAAGATTATACTAAAGGGCGAAAAACAGTGGGTGAAATAGGAAAAATATTGGCGAGCGAAGCTAGTCGAGCGGTGGACTGGGAAGGGGAAAAAGGGCGGCGGGCTCACGCTGACGTCCGTGATGAGAACTTGACATGTTGACATCTCAATGACAGTTTATTTGCTGGAGGGCAGATCGGCGGGATCAAAGGGATGTCTCCAGGCTCTGCCACCCTTTTCCCTCCTTAGACTACCGTTCGGCTCGCTTCGCTTGTCTATATTTTATTTTTCGCGCACGCCAATTTTTTCTCCCTTTTCCGCCAATGCGGAGCCTGGAACTAGCGAAGCCTGGCCCCAGGCTAGTTCCAGGCTCCAAGATAGTAGGGAAAGCAGCACGAGGAAAGTTGTGATAAAACCGCTTGGGAACTGGGGAGAGACAGGGAAGTGGAGCCTGCAAGCATTGTTTTTAATACCTCAACTACAGTAAACCAGCTCCTGGTATACCCTGTGATTGGTCAATTTTAGACAGTTTTCATCAACGCTTACGTTAATCACTTGGGTACACGCGTGCTGAGTCAAACCAACATGGTGAGTGTGAAAAAAAAAAAAGAAAAAAGAAAAAAAAACGTGGTGAGTGTGTAAAACCCCCCTGAACCAGATACAGTTTCTCTATTTACAATAAAGAATCTTTGACATTTTGACTTGAGGAACAGTTTTTCTGGAAGTGGTTAGGGTAGTGGGTGGACTGAGGTACTTAAAAAGACGCTTATAGGCCTTCCCCATCTCTCTTCCCTTGTCATTTTTGTTCACTAGCTTTTTCGCTGCTTGCCTGCTTTTTTCGCTTATCTGTAATGACTGAGAGCTTGGCACAGGCTAGGATTATACTGGCAGGGGACAAAACTCTTAAAAGGAAAATCACGGAAGTTATAGAGATTGAGACATTATTATTATTATTATTTTTTTTTTTAAATTTTTTTTATTCAAGACATTTATTACTATAATTACAAAGAACTACTTAAAAAAGAAGATAATTACAAAGTTCTAAACAACTGCAATAACAGACATACTTACAATTATCTACATTTCACAATTATATACATTACAGCCACAAAACAGCCGCGCAATTGCCGAATGAGGCTTATTTTACAAAGAATTAATTAATACTTAATTATGTAGATAAAAGAGAGATTAACACTTAATATTTACAGTACGCTCTGAAATAAAAAAACAAAAACATAACCACACATACAAAAAAAAAAAAATAATATACAAAAATACAAAAATACAAAAAAAAAAGTGTCTAATAAAAGATTACATTTTTAATTACATACTCACGAACTTAATTAAAGGGGAGAAATGTCTTTTGGCCATTTTTCATAAAAGGTTTCTAATTTATTATTCTTAGTGGAAATATATTTTTCAACTTGGTATTTAATGCTTACTTTAAATTTGAAACCTTTGATGTTTGGAAGTACCTGTTTCTTTCTGCAATCCCATAAATACAATTTACCAATTAATATCAGATAATTTAACAAGGGGCATTTTGACATCGTTATTCCAATTATAACTTATGCTCCTTACGTTCAAAGAAACTAATTTAAATAAATCTGCCGTTTCAGTTGTGTTTTATAAAAATGTATATATTGTTTGGGATTAGTACTTTCCAATGTTTAACGAAGCATTCAAAAAGAGTGAAACAAAAGACATTTTCTCCTCCCACTGGGAAAATTATTATTTTCCCAGATTGAGACATTATGACTATCTCTTAACCAGGATGGTGGGCTGCCGGGAGCTACCGAACATCTATGACCCAGTTCTCTCGTCACACTACCATCCTGAAGTGTGACTACTGTATAGCCAAAAACAAGCCTCTCAAAAAGGGCCTTTGAATTATATAAGCCCCGGGGCTTATTTGCGGAATTTTACGGTATTTATTCATTTCCAGTCTATAATTTCTTCTAACTTATGACGGTTCAATATACACTGTAATAAGCTAAAGACCACAGTTTCTCAAGTTGCGAGAAAGAATCTTGACATAAAGAGAAATGCATTAATTTTGTCTCACCTGCAGGTTAATAAGACCATTTTCCATGACAGGCAAGTAGGTCACATCAAAACCTTCACTTTCCAGGGCACGACAAGAATCAAGCACACACTTATGCTCCTAAAAGATACAACATTCACGAAATCATGTGTAATACCACAGAAACTTCAATGACGTCAAATGACTTGAATGATGTCAGGACTAAAATTTACAATCCTTTACACTTACAGTTTGTGTTGTTATAACGTGTTTCTTGTTTCGTTTGTAAAATCTTGCCACCCCCTGCAATGATAAAATATACACATTATAGCAGTGAGCTGCATTAGTAAACACAGAAGGTACTTCCTATTAATTTTTTTGTCAAGTAATAACACATTTATTTTTATATTAATTACAATACATCATTGTCAGAGATGTCACTAAGACTTCAAGTTGCTTGGTATTTAAATACCACAAGTAGGCGGGAAATCAAACAGCTAGGTCCAGAGGCCTTCTGGCTACAAAACATCCTTTTTTCTCTTGTGAACACAGCCTCAAAAATAATTTTCTTTATTTGATGCAAGACATGGTCTTTTGACCTTAACATGTAGGACACCACTTTAATTTTTGATGCTTGTGGGATTGGAAGCAACTGCTGACCCTGAAGGCTCAAATTCAAGATGGAGGAAATACACTCAATCATAATAAAATATACAGACATAAGGTATTTAACTCTTCTAAAATCAATAAGAAGAGACAAGTTTAAGAGCTATGAAGAAACAATTCTAAGGCTTACAAAAGACATAGTCACAAGCCCTAGGATTTCACGAAAACAAAAGTTTCCAGGACCGTGTTGTTACCGTGGTCTTAAAATAATGGAACCAAAAAAATAGTTTCCCAGTGCCATTTTCTGCCTAAGGGATCCACTCTCAGAAATTCTTTAATTTTCCACACAGATACTTAATTAGTAGGGCAATTCTTAAGTTACATGTATGACTCACATACAAAACTGAAATGTTTAGCATCTATCAGTTTTATCTTGAATCATTCCCAAAAAGCATTATACATTGCTGGTTTATGGCTTCCAGTGCCAAGAAAAAAATATAATTATGACTTTGAAAAATTAAAAACATTTAGGGGATGGGTTCCCATGAATTTTCATGGAACCAAAAAATTGTTGCTGTTGGTTTCCCATGATATCTGGGCACAGAGCTGAAAAATTGTTTTCAATTGAAATCCTAGGGCTTGAGTAAGAAGTACCTTGACTGAAATGTTGTTTGACTCTGTTGCACCACTGGTAAATATAACCTCTTTAGGATCAGCACCAATCAATTCTGCTACTTGCTGTAAAAGGGAAATTATGATCACTTTCAAAAAAAAATTTTAAACAAAAAAATAAACACTCCCGCTATATCATTACAGGGCTGTGGCTGAAAAGGTTTGTGAAAGAAAATGGCATTAATTAATCATCTTGTACCATTCACAGATAATTTGGAGCCATAGGGTCCAAAAGAGATCAAACACCTAAAAATGCAATAACTTCTGTTTGATAGGACACCATTTAATTGAATTTAACTGGGGAGCAAATCAGGGCTTCTGATTTTATGCGATGGCGCGATTTCGCTCATTTGGCCTCAAATCGCATCCAATCACACAATTTGAGGAAAATCGCATTCATCAATTCGTAAAAAAATGCTTAATTCAAGTAAATTAACTTTCATTAACCCTTTAAGCCCCAGTATCCACATACAAATTCTCCAAACTGATCTCCATACATTTTCTTTAATAATGAGTTGAGAGAATTTGATAATAGATCAAGGCATTTTCTCTTGTGTGATCATTTTATGAATTCTCATAACTTACCTCTTGACAGTGTATGGATATTGTTTGGAGAAATTTGATCTTGGTCACTACTGGGACTTAACGGGTTATACATTTTCCCAATCCTAAGGTTATTTAAAGTGATTTACCACTACAGAAAGCCTTGAAAGTGGTGTAACAGTATCATGTAATGTTAAACAAGCGTCTTTTTTCTTTCTTTCTATTTGTTTTCTTTTCCAGGTCAAGATAATGGCACAAATTTAACTATATTTTTGTTTAAAAATAGATGTTTTATTATTCTTTTACATTGAAATTGCCTGTTAAACAACATTAAAGTGATTTCTCTCCTTAGAAATCTGGTAAAACAATGTTAATCAGTCCTGAAAAATCACATAATAAATTTATTTGTCTCACAATAGTCCTATCTTATCGCACAATCTGCCCTGAAAATGCCACATAATTTCTGCTTTTTTAACCACGCCCTATCAGAAGGCCGGGCAAAGTGAAATCAAGATTAACAGCCTGTTGTGAATTTCAGTGAAAATGGCACCAACTCAAGGCATTGGGTGAATGGTGATTTGTATGAAATTGTCCACCCAAGCTGTGAGCTCATTTCACTGTGTGTTCACTGGAACGAATACAGGAAAGGTCTATTTTGTGGAAACAAGTAACTATGAGCAGAGAGCCACTTTTAGGCTTGAAATAAGCTTTTAGGTCTAAACTTTTCAAAACTTTTAAAACATGTGGCATTCTGTGAATGAAATGAGGTAGAAAACATCCCGCACGCTGTAACAGTAACATAATAATTATGCATTATGTAATTATGCAGATTTAAATGCATTTAATGGAACATTATAAGTAAAACATATGATTCTTGCATGCATTCAATTTGCTTGAATCCAATTTTAATTAACTGGGCAAGAAGAACAATACTATTTATCATTACAATGTACCTTTCTAGCATGCTCAACGGCTTGTTCACTTTCCCAGCCATAAGCGTGGGTCCGTGAATGTGGGTTCCCATAATAAGATACTGAATATGGCATCATAGCATCCAAGACACGTGGATCCTAACCACATAGATAAAAAGGGGGTTATTTTTTAATTGAAAGTTTAATATTCTACCTATTAACTTGACAGTATGTTATAATAGAAAAACAATGGTCAAATAAGAATCTTTGACTCTTGATTTTACTACAGTCTACTCTGATAACTCGAACCCTCGCTAACTCAAACCTCACGCTAACTCGAACCAAAATCAATTTCCCCTTGATTTCCTTCATACGTTTACTATAATTTTACCCTCAGCAACTTGAACCTCCCACTAACTCAAAGTAATAATAACTGTTACTTTTTGTTTCCCTTCACATCATTTCTATATAAATTTACCCTTGATAACTTGAACCATGCTTTAAGTGCCTGACGACTCAAAAAAAGTTTACTGCAGTCCGAAACATTGAAACTACTTTAACAACTATGTATTCTTTATCTTACTTTTTTGTCAGTCCAGTTTAAATACAGTGTCCAGCACTATGTATTTATCAAGTTTTGAAGAGTACATGTTACTTGCATTTATTCACCAACCCACTTTCTTGTTTCCGGTATTTTGCTTGAAACTCCTTATAACTAAGAACTCTCGCTATCTCGAACCTTTTTGATTTCCCTAGAAGGTTCAAGTTATCAGGAGCCAACTGTACATGTCAGTATCCCTTGTGAAAAATATTTGATTTCATTTATCGAAAAAGATTTGAACCGAGGAGTGCCCAGCTGACAGAAGTAAAATGAACTTTATTGCACACTAAGTGAGTGTAGTGTCATAAATGGGATGATGACAACAGAAACTGAAATTCTGGAAACCTGTGCAGAAAACATCTACAAAGTTTAAATGAGTTGTGTATTGTCACTTATGTGAAATAATATGAGATTTTTTGTAATACTCTACTGGTTGTTTTGATTGGTCAATTAAGCCACGACATTATTGGTCATGTGTCAACTACAGTGTACAGCGTACAGTCATAAATTAACAGATGTGACCTCTCAGGCGAAAACGTACCCTAATGAAATTCCATTAAATGGGTGAAATGCACGGCTACCAAATAAGTTGGGCCTTACTCACCCGTTTGAATGGCTTCATTGAACTAATGAATGGGTTATTAAGTATTTCAAATGGCTAACAGAAATGGGCAAACCGTTTACTTACCTGTTCAAATGGCTCATCAAAATTTCCAAATGGGTTTCCCTAATGATTGAACGGCTTAGGAAAATTTTCAAACAGGTTAACGTAAATGGCTAAAAAAACGATGCTGTCATATAAACAAACAGGCTCATGTTTCTTACAAACAAGACAGCAAGTCGTTCAAACAGCCTGACGGTTCAAATGAACCGGTGATCAAGCCATTCGAGTGGCTGGCAAATGGCTTGTAAAGGGAAAGCTATTTGAAAACAGAAAGACATTGGTGTACATTTTTGCATGAGAGGTCACAGATGTATGTTATTAGTTATCAACAAATTATGATTTTTATATCAAAATCTCAGTCATAGCTGATACTGAATTCTTGTACATCTTGCACTATCAATATTAATTATGATCCATATTAATAGTACATTTTCATACCATTGGAGTAGTTGCTTGGGCATCCAGGTACAAAGGTCTCAGTTCTGAGGAGTCATCATCTATAGTAATAAAATGACATCAAAAATTAAAGCTTCATTTTAAGGATTTATACAATGTACTTGTATTTTATAAAACTGCACTGTAGCTCAACGTTATTTACACATGCAAGTAACTAAACATTAAATATTACTTAAGAAAATAATATCTGCCAAATTTTACAAAGCTAGCACATTTTTTTGTGTTGGAGTTCAACAGATGAATACAGATGAGTGTCTTTATATGACAAATACAACTGTAATATTTGCCAATTTGCTTGTGTACATGACAATGCATATTTTATGTTGAAAACTAGTTTCTGTATCATGTGACAGCATAAGGGAATGAAAGTTGCATAACAACAGCGGCGGGTGCTCAGAAAATACTGTTTACTTTGGTAAACTCTTAATATTGTCACCCTGTTTAGCAAGACACTTGTGCCATAAAGCTAGAAGCTTCTTGACTTAAATGAACTTGTCATTATCATTATTGGCTCTTGATAAGTGAAAACATTTATGTGGTGAGCATATTTGCCAAAACAGCTTTTCTTTGGCAAAAAATTTTCATTTGCCCCATCAAAACTGGAATGACTGGTTTTTTTAGTCAAAGGATCATTTTAAGAATTCAACTCCTGTTGTTAAAAAAATACTTGAAGAATTTAATGCAATAATCATGTCTTTGTTTCTTACTACTTAAACTATGTATTAACCAAAGGAATGAACTTTTACTAAGTAGCTGTCTGCATAAAATTGTTCTCTTGAGGATGGTTTTCACTAGCGACGGAGTCAGAGTCGCAGTAGTAATCACAAACATACAACTTTACGATCTAGTGAAACAGTGTTCTGATTCCGCTTACGACTCCTTCGTTTACAATCAAGTGAAAACTGGGTCGTAAGAGTCACAAGCAGAAGTGGAAGAACTACACCAATCATAAAGCGTGGGAACGTGTATTGTGATTGGTTTATCCTTCTGCTTCCGCTTCCAACTCCAATAATCTGGTTTTCACTAGATCATAAGCGGAACAAAGTGACAGAGTCATAAGCAGAGTTGGAAGAAATGGAAACGTTCTGATTCTTGTGACTCCAATTCTGTTGAGCTTATGACTCTGCTTACGACTCTGACTTGTTATTTTCACAAGGTCATAAGCGCTCTTACGACTCCACTTACGATTCCAACTCCGAGAACCAAGACCACACACATTGAAAACTATTCTGCTTTTAAGGACAGCAGCTCAGTGGGAGGTCACAATTTTGTCATCTAACTTTCTCAGGACTGGTAGAGTTGCTTTTACCGGGAATTTTCATATATCCATGGAAATTTCCAAAAGAGAATTCTAAAATTTGGCAAGTAGGTTACACGCAAAAAGTGGCTTCTCTGTAGGCAAGAGCCATTAATTTTACCTACAGGTAAAAATGGTTAGTGTAACCATGTAACCATAGATGCAGTTAGCTAAAATAAGGCTGGGTTGTGCTCCATATACCGTGATCTCAAATATTTAATTACAAAGTAAAGACAACAATAGATGTCAGTGTATGACAATGCATAATAAAGAAGGATTACAGTAGATCTACATGGCAGTATGAATGATCCTCAATGGATATTTTCAAATACTAAACAGTTCACAAAGTTACTTAAATCGCAAAAAGATAATCATGGTCCTCGCATAGACAGCCATAGATGCAAAAACGTTCAAAGCGTTAAAAATTAAATCGTCTCGTGTGGTGACAGTGGACGAACGCACCTGAACTCACTGATGCAACAGCTTCAGTCGATTGATCAGTCGATGTCGTTTTTAAGCCTCTTGCCATCAAAATTCGACATGAGTATGAACTCAGACGTGGTGTTAACAGTACTCTTCTAAACATGACCGATTTTTACAGGAATAACACAAAAATTAAGACCAAAAGCGATAATGTCTTCAACACTTCTCACTTCTGTGACATAACATCCGAAACAGAGGCTGGGGTACCGGGCCTTGGAGTATCCCGTCACTTACGCGGGAATCCCGCGCAAGAGACCCGGGCCAAAATTCATGATTTTTGTAATGCACAGCGTGAATCGCGTATCGCCTCTTTTTACGGTGATTCAATATGAAGTTGACCAATCAACCGTCATGTGATCGTGTTAATGAGACCTGTGCAATGCCCAGTGGGAATTAGAAGAGTGCTTCGGTTCTTGAGTCTGATACACAGCCGTTTTTAGTCTCGTCACGCAACGATCCTTGCATGACGAGACTAACAACGGCTGTGACTTAGACTGCGAGCACTCTCTTATTTTTTTTTGCATTATGCACCTATCAATTCAAAGTCGACAAACTGCAAAATAAATGTTATGCCGGCGGGGGGGTGGGGGTGGGGGGGGGGAGGAAGATCATGTGGGTGCAGTGGATGAGAAGGGGGGTGGGGGGGGGGGGGGTGGGGGGTGGGGGGGGGGGGGCAGAGCAGGGGGTGGGGATTTGATTGTCTTTGTTGGCCATGGGGTAGGGCATTTGACTGATCTTGTTCTCCCCGGGGAGGGGATATTTGAATCTTTCTTGGCGCCCCACGTGGAGAGAAACGAGGGCGTAAGCCCGATCGAGAAGATTCCTATATAATAACATCAGAACATGGTGGTTTGCAATCGCGCTGGATGAGATCAAGAACTAGACGGATTTTAAGAGAAAAGGCGGACTGCAAGCAGTCTAGCTGTGACTGAGGTCATCATACTAGCAGATGGCCAGCTCCTCTCGATGGCAAATCTGAGAACCTAAATAACAGAAAGTAAACGTTAAAAACAAGTCCTTATTTTCTACCCACCGCCCGGTTAGCTCAATGGGGATAAGCGCCGGTCTGCTGAGCGGGAAGCCGTACAAACGGAAACCACAAAAAGCTATGAAGAATGAACTCGTCAGTTATCAGAAAAATAAATCTGCAATGCCCGCATGCGAGCATGCACTCCTCCTATCCGGTTTATCACAGGGGCCCCACACAATCTGTTTGTGTAGCCGATTGTTATTTTATAGTAAATGTACTGGATTTACCGTTTGCTTCACCTATAGCGATATATCGCTGACTATGTATAGAAATCAATGATAAATAAACGTTGAATTACCTTACCTGTGGTAAGGTAATTCAACAAGAAAAAATTAATAAAAATCTTCTCAGTTATACACCTAATTGCAACAACCAGAATAACGTTGTCATAGAAAAAAGCAAAAAGGCGAATAGGAATAAATTAGCCATGTGATTTACATTTGCGTATTTTAATAATTTAACAATTATTTAAGAAGTCATTCGCAATAAGAAGATATAATTCTGTAATTCCACGCTGTAAGATAGGCGCCATAGTCATTTTAGAGCCAACATTCTCCATCAACGGAAGTCGCACAATTCGAAAAAGAAAACGGTAAATTGACGCGAGTAATGTTATGTCTCGGTGTTCGCACTTTCAGTCGCCAATCTATTATGTCCTGACAAACGAACCTTTTTTTTTCCAATATATTTATTGATAATCACATTAAAAAATTACATTTACAATACTACAGATGGTATATATTGGTTTGTGGCGCAGGTGAGGAACTGGCGGAGGACCTCCTCACCATCTCCGCAATGAAAAGAGAAAGACTATAGCTTTTTGGGGAAGGACACGTTCCCCAACCAGTCCTGCCTACGCCCCTGATTTGTTGCTTGAAAATTGTGATCAGATGGTTTTGTGCACTGCAAACCATACGCAGACTGGCTTAGTTTCTATTTGGCACTAATCTAAAAGACGCGTTGCGTTCCTGGAATTTACCCCAGGCTATATATTTATTGAAAAAAATAGAGTCATTATTTCTTTAGTAGTTACCCGATGTACGTTTGTAATTCGAGCACGTTCGAAATTCGCTAGATGAATCAGCCTCGAATTGCATGAGAATGACACCAAGAAACTGATGCAAATGATTTCTCTCATATTACGTGATTAATGTTCAGCTATAAGCGGGTGTGTTGTGAATGTTGCAAGCTATGATAATTACATGCTAATTATTTTGCTTTTTGCTTTTTTCTATGACAACCTTATTGCAATTAGGTATATACTCCGTAATACATCAGAAAGCAACTGCAGTCATCTAAACACGAAAGAAGTACTCATTCTTCCAATGCTTTCTTCATATTTATGTATTTTATTTATAACTGAACACCTATATCTTTGATGCGAGTACAAGCACTAGCCTCCCACGCAGACGTTCTTAGGGCTTCCTCACGCGTTCCTCCGCCGCCATGCATGCCCCTGTTAGTGGAGCAGGAACGCGTGACGAACCCCGCCTAAGAAAGTCTGCGGGGGAGGCTATAAAATCACTGGCTGTACTTTTTACTTCGTAGCAGTACTTTTACATTCGTGCTGTAGTATTTTAACATCATTGGGTAGTTTCACTGATTTCAGTAACAGTATAAATGTTACTACTGTTCATGATCAACACACAAACTGTACTTACAAAAAAAAAACGCGCAAATCCAGGGACACAATTCCACATGAATGAAAATTTATTTATTTATTTATTTTTAATTGCATGTTCTCGTGTTTGCTTTAATTGGACTGACTCTCTTTGCAAACTTCAGTTGACTTGGTGGTAAGGTCAACGGCTAAATTGATGAGATGTACAATTTCGTTTACGAAATTGAGAAAACCACTATTTAATAAAAAGTAAGTAATGTACAAAACCGAAGGGAAACTGGTGAATATATCAAATGATATCACCTCCTGTTTTTGTAGCTGCCCTCTGCCTATTTGGGGCTATTTCCGGCTTTGGTACACATAAACCAATGAATTCAATAAACCTCTTATAAATTCGAGCTGCCTGATCCCTTAAATTCAAGCATATCCAAACATATGCAAATTTTTGGACTTGAACAAAACCGGTTTTCAGAACTGTTTGTTCAAAGTTTTTCACGTGCGAAAAACGTGAAAACGGTTTTCTTTTAGGTTTATGACGTTACAATATATTTTATTATGAATGTTCGACTTTTGCATTTCCTTTTGTTTTAAAACCGTCGTTAAGGGCTGATCTATTATAACACTATATCCAGTTTTATATTACCATGAAGCGAAAGAAAAGTGCATCAGTTTATTTTGACCAGCGACGAGGAGAAATTTCACAAAAAGAAAAGCTAAAAGGATCTTGATGAGCCTATATGAATTATTGTGGACCACTTGTATAGTCTTCAAACAAATATAATATCGAAGTGTCTAGATCTAAATTTTTCTTTTTTTTTTTCCCGGTTTGTCAGCGGAATTGGGCAACTAATTGGGGGTAAGTCACGGTCTTCGGAAGGACGGAAACAGCGAAAAATGCGTTGAGTCGGATCCGAACGGACTTCACTACAGCCGCTCTTAGTTTTTCCCGTCGGAGCTCATTTTACTGATGTCGCTTGTTTCTGCAAATTATATTTGTAAAGACAGGGGCTAAACTAATACATAACAGCTACCTTGACGGACTAAGACGTATTAAGGCTATTGACTCGATATTGACACTGCACTGAGTGGTTTAGGCTTTCTAAAAATGCAGCCCCACTCAGCTTTCGGGAAAAGTAACTCTATTTTGTCAACACGACTGAATATTTTAGACACTTTGTCCACGAGGACTGATAGTAAGATTCTTAGCTATTCTTCCGTAGCCGGCCTGGCAAGCGTTTTGCTGCTGGGTTTCGGCTCGAGTTATTGTCGAAATTTGATAGAGGGGGAACAAAAACATGGCGTACCGGGAGTTCGACGAACTCGCGAGAAAAGTTTCCTCTACGGCGCGGAATCTGGCCTAATGCAACTGCGTTAAACCTTTGGACCGGGCAAGCTTAGACATATTCTTTGTCAGCAAAAGAGAGTCAACTTTTGTTTGTGACATTTTATGCAAATAATTTATCATAAAAGATCGAGAAGAACTGGTGGTGTGACTTTTCTACTTGATTAGCATATGAAAACAAACGAAGCNTCAACACGACTGAATATTTTAGACACTTTGTCCACGAGGACTGATAGTAAGATTCTTAGCTATTCTTCCGTAGCCGGCCTGGCAAGCGTTTTGCTGCTGGGTTTCGGCTCGAGTTATTGTCGAAATTTGATAGAGGGGGAACAAAAACATGGCGTACCGGGAGTTCGACGAACTCGCGAGAAAAGCTTCCTCTACGGCGCGGAATCTGGCCTAATGCAACTGCGTTAAACCTTTGGACCGGGCAAGCTTAGACATATTCTTTATCAGCAAAAGAGAGTCAACTTTTGTTTGTGACATTTTATGCAAATAATTTATCATAAAAGATCGAGAAGAACTGGTGGTGTGACTTTTCTACTTGATTAGCATATGAAAACAAACGAAGCTGTCACAGAGGAGGACGCGCAGAGCAACATAAAATAATTTCTTCATCTTACTCATTTTTATAGTTTTTTTTCATCGAAAAAATCGTTGGACTAGTTCACAGCAAAGTTTTAATAAAAGGCTGATTTTTGTACATCATCGTGTGCGCCCTTGACACAAATTCTCACTTGTGGGTTCTGTCAAACTTGCAAAACCGGTCATGACCCGTACGGAAAACCCGAACGACTTGCACGGCTGCAGGAAAATTTTTCGATCAAAACCTAAAAACAACAGCCGTTTACCGGCCAATTTCGCTTGGGAATCGTCGAAGGAGTTTCGTTGGAAAAGAGGCAAAATTCGAGTGGAATCGACGATAAAAATGGCCCAGGTTTTGCTTAAATTTTCAAGATAGCTCTCCGCTGTATGTTACTCAGGGAAAACACAGCTGATCTAGAAGCATGGAGGGAAAGAAACTCAGGGTTCAGTTCGAGCGGCGAGTCGATTCAGCTTGGTCTTGGTTGATTTGCTTCACTTCGTTCATGAGCCAGTTTATAGTTCTAGGAACTCACAACTCATTTGGTTCATTTTTTGTGGCATTATTGCAAGAATTTCATCGCAGCGAAGCTGAAACAGGTACGATTATGAACACTCATATTTTCCCCCCACTTTCACCGCGCGGTTGACGATAAAAAATTGATTTCGTCGACAGGTTGCCAAGACAGGGACTCGCGAATTTTCTGTTCTCTTTATTCATGGTTAAATTTTGTCGCGACCAAGGAAAATTGCAAACAGAAATGAAGGAAATCAAATCGAGCAAAATAAATTCCCAGCCGCTTCGCTCAAAGCGCGAAAGACAACTTACATAACTCGAAACTTGATGATAGGCCAGGAAACCACGCGAGTGTTGTAAGATATGTATCAGCTTTTCTTGCGCCAAACAGATAGATTGACAAAAATTTATACAACATTGTGATCTCTCAATAATTTTTCTTCAAGTTTCTCCAATATTAAGTCATGAGGAGCTTAGTAACGGGAAATAAAATTTGTTCTTTCTGTAAAACCGGTTGTACAGCACCGTAATGATCTCACTGCCAATGTGACACGGTCTGTTGACTGTTGTTCCACGCGCGGAAAAAGAAAACCCCTCGAACAGTTCAGGAACGTGCGGTGGGCTCAAATTTATCGCTTGCTTGGAGTTTTGGCCTAAAACGTTTTGGTTAACCTGAGTTCATACACAAATAAACCATCGGTTATCGCTGGTTTTGCGTTGTAGATTGTCACACATATCTTGGTCTCTTGCTAAGTTTATTTTTTAATTCACTTAAGTGCGCTCAATTCTGTATGAATACTACCCAAATCATGCGACAGGAAATCCGGAGCTGTTTTCAACATTATTCGTCATCTGCAAGTAACTGACGGAATGTATTTTTCTTTACCAACTTGTTTTATAATGAGCAGTCTTAAATTTGTTGTTGTTATGATTCGATGTAATAAAAATTGCTTATAAACATCTGCATTGCTTTGCAAATTGTATTTTCCGTTCTCGGACTGTAACATATTTATCGATCGGCTTCATGAGAAAAGGTCAACCGGTCGGAATTTTTTTCTCTGTTTGATTTCCTTTCAAGACGTTTCTTGAAAAACGAGTTTTCTAGTACTACTCGGCAGTTTTTATTTTTTCACAGGCATCGCCCAAGATATTAGCAGAAAAATCGCGCAAAATTCCGCAAACTCGCCAAACAGGGTTTTCTCGGAGAAAATACTCACCACAAAAATCATAAATATACATAACTAATTTGTTTACAACCGATGTTTCTAAGAATTTCGAACCGCCTTCTTAACCTATCGATGTAAAATGTCATTTTGAGGGAAAACTCTCATGGCGGTGGTAAACTGCCCGGGGGATGTTTGGAGCAATGGATAGCGGTTCGAAAATATTTATCTGAGGGAACCCTTGTTTTGCATCACCAATTTTTTTTCATGCAAGGGTGCAAAGTCCACATCTTGTACAAAAGACACGCGTGAAAAACACGTGGGGGGCCAGGGCACTCCTTATTTGCCTCATTTGCATAAGGGTACGTGACGCTGTACAGGGTATGGCTTTTGGGGTCCTGTGGTTTTCAGGGTATGCCATTGTACACGTATTGTACTATTTCGCGTTGTGGGAGTGTGACTTACTAAATTTGGCCATGTACAGTCTTCAAATGGTCTCAAGCGTGGTATTCATTTTTTTTATTTATTCGATAATGTCAGCGAAAAAAAGCTCATTTCTTTTGGGTACGAACCGAACCGAATAGGGGTCATGAAAAAAGGCCTTTTGTCTTAAAAAGAGAAGCGAACCCGGGGAGGGCGGAGTAGTGAAATGAACGGTTTTTGTCTTAAACAGGGACAGGGTGTGAAAGCCTTATCGGCACTCACCCCACTCACACTTTCATTAAGTGCCCCCTCCACTTGGGTAACATTGATTCTAAATTTCTAGTCTGTAAGAGAACTTGCCTTTCGATGCCGTGACCATCAAGAGAACCTCTTTTACGATTATATCGTGCCCCATAGAATCTTCCGGAAGTTTGCATTACGGTAATGGAAACGGGAAATATTCTTCTATAGGTGCTGTGGGTGGGCTCTTCAAACCTCTTCAGGCATTTGTCTTTGGCGTATTTAAAGGACTAAAAGCCTTTCTTCCCCTGAGCATAATTACTTGTAATTGTAACGAATTGACGCCGACGGGTTGGGTTGGGGAAGAACAATAAAAAACCATCTGAGGGTCTCGAGAATCTGTGACCCCCTCCCCCCCTGCCATCTGAAGGTATTCTTTTAGCGGTGTTTTTTTAATTGGCGTGAGAAACAACTAAGCGAGATGTGGAAACAGGCTCTTGTTCAATTTTTTTCCCAAAACGTTGTCACATTTATGATAATTAGTTTTGTATTGAAAATACATTTGCGTATAAAACACGTGGTTATTCGATATTCATATGTAAAGCTGTTTGCATGAATCTGTAAATGGAGATCACTGTATTTTCGGGAAAGAAATCCGCGAGCGCGAAAACGCAACGGTCACGCGGGGAAGGAGATAAGGGAACGCCCATTTGTTCCCCTTCCTTCCCACTCCCCCCCCCCCCCGGCAGACCTTACCGTCCCCGCGCGCCCAAATTCCTCTCTCCTCGTCTATATCGATTGCAGGGTAGAATAAGACGTTTCACCGATCAAAGTGTTCGTACGGGGGAGGGGGCGGGGGGTGGGAGGAAATCGGTAAACTAGGTTTTCGAGGATCAATAGTGGTTTGGTGGCCTGGCCTGGAGGGGTGACTTTGAACAGGCTGGGGTAACCATCGAATGCCTATTCTGAGTCCGACGACCCGATACCAAATCCTGAATTGTAATTATTTTTTTTGTTCTCATTTACAAACAGCATGGATTGGCTCTCTGGCGATGGGATTGACGTTTATGTGTGGACCAATCGTAACCATTCTCTGCGACCGATGGGGATATCGAGTTGTCATGTGCCTTGGTAGTGTTATTCACATGGCGGCCATGTTGATGACGTCATTTATGCCCCACATGCCCTTGATGTACATCACCTACAGTGTTTTATTTGGTTTTAGCTCTAGTTGCTGTTATTTTTCTTCTTTGAACGTGCTCATAATTTATTTCAACAAAAATCTCGCCTTGGCCAATGGAATCGCAACGGCAGGCGCCGGAGCGGGAACGATGTCACTCAGCTTAATGATTGACAAGTTAATATCTACCTATGGTTTTAGGATCGCTCTCCGCAGCTTGGCGGCGTTATCCGTTTTGCTTTTCATAGCTGGTCTTACGTTTTTACCCGTGGACTTCAGGGAGGAAGAGGAGTGTCTAAATAAAACAAAAATTAAAGAACAAGAACTGATGAAAGCAAAAGACAAAATAATTTCCAGAATCAGAGAACTACTGAAACCATCTCCTGTGTGGAGAAGTAAAGCTTTTGTCGTGTGGGCAGTAGCCATGTCTATGACTCTCATCGCCTACTATATTCCTTACATGTACCTTGTAAGTATTTCCATTTTAACCTAGTATCCGTTAACAGCAAAAACCACACCTGCTAGTCTTGGATTCTGGATTCCACGCAGTGGATTCCGGATTACCTTACATGGGACGAATCATTTCAGAATACACTTGAACTTCTCTACAACGGCCACCTTGGGAACAGAAGAAAGTGGCCGTTGTAGAGAGGTTGAAACAAGAGCGAATGTATGGACTGTACGCCGAAACAAATGGCCGTTGTTGGAGGGTGGCCATTATTGGAGATTCGATGGTTAATGTAGAAAAAATGTTCTGCATACGAACGAAACAGTGGCGGAGGAGGGGATTGGGGGCATGAGACCCGGGTCTCTATGCACCTTAATTTAGGCTAACTCATTTTTTGACAAGTTCTTATTGAAATCATTCTTTTCTACAGATTCGCCTGGCAGAGAGCATTGGAATTCCCTCCAGTCAAGGCGCTCTGCTGGTCGGCTACTTCGCTTTGGCTCAAACGGTTGGCAAGATTCTCTTCGGCAAACTTGGAGACTCATCCCGAATAAGTCGTCTGACTCTGGCTCAAATATCTCTATTGGTAATTGGGGTAGCAGCATGTCTGTGCCCATTGGCCCGATCTCATACGGCCTTACTCACGTACTCTCTGGTGTCGGGCCTATTCGATGGTTGCCTTTGTGTAATGATTGGCTTGGTGACTCATGACATCGTGGGACGGGGGATGATGGCCAAAGCTGTGGGGACACTCTTTGGAATAGTAGCGATCCCAATGGCAATAGGACCTCCCATGGCAGGTACATATCCCTTTTACTGCTACGAGCGTCGTCTTAGTTTAGGACCTGGGACCTGACTAAGAGCGAAGCGGGGGACTAGGGATGGGTACAGAGTGGCCATCCCTCTTTCTTCTTAATACCCCGCTCGGTTCACCTCTTTCTTCGTGCTCGCCCCGTTCTTCGCCCTATTTCTCAGTCCTATAAGTACCCCTATAAGGAGCCTTGTCCCAGGCTAGCATCGTCTTGGCAAGTTACCTGTTACGAGAGAAAGTCTCACAGCACCAAAAGTGATAGAAGCCTTTTTGGATTTTAAGTTGCATGCTTGAGATTTACTTAAGTGGCAGGTAGCTCCAAATATAAAGTTGACTTTGTGATTGTTTAAATTTTTTTTCTATTTTTTCTTTATAGTGTATATGACACCAAGAGTGTAAGATACCGTAAAATTCCGAATTTGAAGGGGCTTTTATACAGACTGAGGGAAATTTGCGTCTCAAAATCGATTGGCTAGCTCATTTGGAAGTGAAATTTATGTCAGTAATTTGCAGAAGGTTTTCTCCGAGGACGTAGATGTTTTTAAAACTCATCCATGCAAGTACTCTGTCTATATGTACCGAGGAAATCCAAGCCAAGAGTGAACTACGCAAACAGCAATATACTGTGACACTTTTTGACGGCAATCATTTGTTGCAACAAGTAATAGTTCTTAAGCAGATGCAAAAATTTATGTGTCACTGTACAGTTTTTGCTGTGTTTTATTTTGAATTTAAGGGCAGTTTCCTAGCACGAGCTCCCGGCGGCTTATATTTGGTGGGGCGATTTAACGAAGGGTTTTTTGCGTTACGAGTCTGGGGGGTTAATATTTGGAGGGGTTTTATACATGAAGGGGCTTACTTTCGGAATTTTACGGTATGTATCCGAAATTGAAACTTGTCAATAATCTTGCAAAACCAATGTTTCGTCTTCAAAACACAGGAATTTGCCTTCAAAAATGTCCGCCCTATCGCGCGGCCAAATTGACAAGTATGACGTAGAATGATTTGCAAGATCAAAGTACATAGCAATGACCAAAATCGGAAGCGAAGGCTGAGTCAACTAACTGACGTCACCTAACGTCAGCAGCCTTTCTTTGATAGTCTACTCCTTTCCAGTCGTTCGAAGCAGTTCTTGGATGGCCAAAAACTAAGAAATCATTTTTGGAGTCATAGTTTTAAAGTTCACAACTGTTAATTAAACTTATCTATGGACCAAAATAGGTTTAAAAAATTCTCGTGTCATATACAATTTAATGCACAGACATTGAGTAAAGATTAATTAATATTTTCACCTTTCGTTCTCGTCTCTAGACATGCTCAAAGAGCACGGAGAACCAGGGATGCTGCCTTCTAATGAGGGTATCTAAGCTCGACGGAGCCGAATGGAAATTCTAGTGGAGGCGATTGGAACGATATGGATCAGGCCTAACCCAGCATTGTTCTTCATTTTTGTTCATATTTTTCAGGTCTGCTCTATGACAGTACAGGCAGCTACAATATAGTGTTCTTCCTGTCCAGCGGACTCGTCATTGGTGGCAGCTGCATCATGTTCCTCGTCCCCATTCTTGTCCCTTCTAGGAAAACCCAGCAAAGAGTCTTCCTTCCCGAGATAACTGTCTCAGCAAAGAATGTTATTGACGTAGAGGATGATTTTTTTGATAATCAGAAAGCCAAATTAACTTCTCAAGTCTCGCTGGAAAGTTTCCCTGAAGAATTCAACGGAAGTCGTTTACATGTGGACAGATTGAACTTGGGATCACGCCCAAGCAGTTTCATATTGTTTTCAATTGTTCCCGAGGGGAGTTTTCGGGATCTATCCCTGTTAAATGAACGATACTCCAACAGCAGAGAAGCCAGTCACACATCCCTGGCAAGACTGTCCGAAATAAGAGTTGACAGTCGCGTAAACAGTTGTTTAAAGTTAGAGCCTGTTGCAGAGGCGGAAACGTCGGGGACAAGCGCGGAGTCTCTCGAGCTTATAACTGAACCCCTGGTTGAAGTCGAGCTGGTAACAAATAAATCGTTTGAAAGCCTCAAGAATGCACGTTATAACGAGCAAGAAGCTGGACAGGTGATTGGTACTTCAGACTATGACAGCAAAGATAATCTTCCTTATATCACAATTTCCAAGTCTACAGAGAGCGGGTTCGTATCCGAGGAGTCGGATGCAAGTCTTTATAGTGAAAACCATGACACTAACAAAATTGTTTCGTCCACTTCAAACCTGGACGAAAATCGCTTAAGTGGCTACTCATGGAATTCAACTGGTAGTGATCTCTCATGGAAGACGCAGAGTTTGGACCTGGTACTAAAAGACAATACTGAAAAGAATAATAAAATAAACACTGATTTATTAGAAAATAGCCTCAAACAAGACCTAATAACAGAGAGGAGCTACTACAGAAGCGATACCTCGCTTACCATAAAGGACAATGATCTTGAACTTTATAGTGGTGGTGATCACCGTGTGAAGTCGCTGATGGTTGAGGGACCACCAATCAACGAGCCGGATCCTCCAGTCTGCTTCATTACGTATGAGGATAAGTCAACGTGCGCAGGAGAAGAGGAGGAAAGTGACTTTTCCGGTAAGGCTGTTGCCTTAGTTAAAGAGTTAACCCAACAAAGTGATGTTTCTATCCCTGAGTTACCTCTAGCGCCCGATTATTACAGTGAAATGTTTGAAGGGATATTGGAAGAGGTTAACGAATATGTCGAGTGTTTCTCGGAGTTGTCCAGTTTCCAGGACGCGCTTAAAACATGGCCAAAAGTTAGTGTGACAGATCTTTCCTTGTGTGAACGAGAAACGGTAGTGTAAATCAAATGGACAGGCCAGTGTAAACCCAATAGAAACGCTAGTATAAACCAAATTATACTAACTGAGTGCAAAGTGGCAACACCCACTACTAGCGCTTAGGAACAAGTTGACAAACAGTCATCAACCACCTGGTCTCATAAACCGTCTGCTAAGTAACATAACTATTCAATACTGGGTGGAAGGCCCCTCAGTTTGTTCGGAGAAATCACATAACAAGTTGATTGGACAAAACAGTCGAATAATGATATTTGACAGATTAAATTAAGTATATCAAACCTTAAAATGAAAAGTCTCCTAATTATACACAACGGTATTCTAATATTGGTCTTATCGTGTCCTATATTCTTGGAGCGAAACTATAGATACGCGAAGAAACCTCCGACAATGAATCTCTTGTTATGATGATACTGATTATATAGAGAAATAAACCGAGCTTAAATTACGCGAAAGGAAGTATTTTACTTTCCACTGAAAAACAAATCATGTCGACTGATTTTTCAAAACGTCGCAAACCATATTTGCTGATGCGAACTAATTAAGAAATAAAGTTAACGCTTATGGCTCCTGAAGAAGGTCAATTAAAAGCGTGCAGACTGAGAGCCACATCTCCCCGTGCAATAAGTTTACTATGTTTAGGATGTGTTCGATTGATAATTTTCCGAAATAAGAACAAATGAAATTCCTTGTTTTGGCATTCATTACATCGCAACATCTAGAAATCTACTTGAACTGAATTGGTAACAACGTTTTTGTGTATTCTTATTTCGGAATACGATCAGTCGTACACACCCTTCTATAGGCGAATCTTTGTTTACATTTTTTGCCTCATTTAGATATACTCATCATTATCTGATGAAGCTAATAAAATAAAACCTCTGAATATTGAAAGAGCATAACAATTTCAGTTATCTCTGAAAATATGAGCCCGATATACCGAATGGTTTCGGAGAAATTCTCTTTTAAAAAGTCGAAATTTTACTAAGAATGTATGACTCGCTAATTGCCACCTAGCAGTTTAATTCGTAGTTTTCGATGGCTGATATTTCCTTCAATATTGCTTGCAAAGAGCTTAAAATTGCACAAATAACTCATTGACAAGTTGATCAGCTCTTTCAACGTTTGAATTTAGTTCGTATATACAGCCACGGCTTCTATGATTTAAGTCGTAGGCTGATGAGGAAAAATGTAAACAATGACGTCTGCAACGATTCGCCTATACCTTAGGCTTAAATGAATCACGAATACCTATGGCAGTGTATTCGTAAAGCTTTCCAGTACGGTGGTTTAGATTCATTCCTTGCAGTGGTTGAGGCTGACCAAACATCCCACCGCGGTCAAGAGTACAATGACGACGTAGGCGCAAATTTAGTTTTGGCAAATGATGACCCAAGGTGGATCTCAGCAAAAATTTATTATATAAGTCACGGCAGTAAGAAAAAGGAATAAATGTTTTGGAGTTTGTCGTGAAAGAAAAAATGGGAAAGAACATTTCTGCACAGCTTTTCGTGCAGTAAAAATACATAAAGGAAGGTCAGATAGCTCTGAGACGAACCATTCAAAGTTACTGTATCCCAAAATAGCTCAACATGCAATTTGCAGGCCTGGTCTAACGCCAGTCGTCTCTTCTAAGTCATCATCTCTGATATAACTCCTTTGACTAGTGTTCATAAACCGTATTATGTTTCTAATCGGGCACCCGTGCATATCTGTAAAACAGAACGATTAGAGCCGACCTGCGCCTATTCTAAACAGGGTTTGTGATTGGCTGGGAAAAGAATAGGGATGGTGACATAACAATGCCCCTATCCCTGAAAGCAATAGGTAGTGCAGGTTATAGGGACCAATGAAATAAGAGGTTTGGATGGGTGCAGGTCGATGGAACGATTAACCAAAATGATATTGTATTTTTAATTTTTTTTTATAAATTGGGGAATCGGACCAAAAATGGCAGTGTTGCAGGAATGTTCTTACTGATATACGTACATCGAAAACCTACGTCGGAAAAAGAAAACACTTTTTTTTTTATTTTCTACAAAAAGGGCGTTGGGCTATAACTAAATCCGTTGTTGGTTAGATCAAGATTAAACCTACTCTATAAATTGCTGATGAGAATTCTGTACATTCTCATCGATTGAATGAAATCATTAAATCAAAATAGAACATCTTATTTATTTATTCAAAAGGCGGCATATACACTAAAATATTCGTAGATAAAGCATATTTATAAAAAGTGTATAAAAAGTTGTTCTTTTTGATAAGGCGTACGTACTTCTTTAAGTATTCTGTTGAAGCCAGCGAATGGCCTGATCTCGAGACAATAAATTTACTTCTTAATTCTCATTCTGACATCTATGTTATTTTCTCGCTCAGGTCTATATTCAGACCCGTCCCCTCATGTGTACATTTTATTTAAGACGAGAGTTACAACATGTATTTATAAGCCTGCGGTTCGAAGGTGATACTCTTTAGAGAAATGGAGCTTAATTAAGCAAAGACTTTTTTGAGCGACGCATGTCAGTAAATCGGAAGTTAGGTTCCACCCTTTAATATACCTTGAAGCTAACAAATTTTTATTAATAAGTGTTATAACTCTCATAGAGACGTTTTGCCTTAAAACTTAGACAAAATCACTTCCCAATTATTGCAAAGGGTCCTCTACCGGCTGACATGCATCGTTAAAAAACGTCGTTGTTTAATAAGCTCTCTAACGGGGGCTCAAAACGTAGTACACGACTGTACTTACTAATAAAGGTGACTGGGTTTTAAGCAGTAAGGAGCAGCCAGATGTATTTTTAGGGTTAAATTTCTGTCTTCTGGGAAGATACTTATATAGTTAAATTAGAATCCAAATAGGTATTGAAATATTTAATATTATTATTTTAATTACAGATTTAAGTAGTCTTATTTTATTGCGGGTGTATAAAAGAATATGAAAATAAACTTGTGTTGATGTTTTCTAATTTTGTTTGTGAACGAGTTTTTACATGAAGTTTACAGGGTCAAACCTCGTAGTTACCTCTAGCCTGCTAGCTAGAGACACTTATGATTAAGACGAACACATCCAAATCCAAGACATGTGAACTTTCAGAGCAAAACAGCGAAGAGAAGAGCGACTTGAATTTCCCGCCCGATTTAGACAGTCAAGCCCTCCTTCCTCAGGAATTTAAAGAAGAAACTGAAAGTCGTCACCACGACTTTTACGTTTTTACAATGACTTTAAGTTTACGAATCACTTCAAATGACTTTCCATTTTTTCATCAATGAAATCTCCCGCAGGAGAACGGCCTATCTTTCGCCTTAACTCCTATCATAAGGGTTGAAAAATATTCCCGGACAAGGATTGTATCGCTTGCCCGAAAAATACACCTGCATTGTAGACTATAGTTCTACCCCTCGGTAAATTCTTGATGTTTCCGAAATACATAAAAGGGAGTTTAAGCAACAACTACGGCGACGTCTACGAGAACGACCAGGCAAAAAAGCGATTGGTTTAGATTGGCAAAACAACAACTTTGCACGTGCATCACGCTTTTTCTGTACGACCACCACGTGAAAATGCCTTTTTTCACGTTTTGTGGAGGACTTGAACGCAAGAACACGACTTTCTTTCCTTTTTCTGGACTTCGATATCAACTCCCGAAAAAAATTGTCAACGGTATTTGACGAATTGAAGGAGATGGAATACTGAGCGCGATAAAGTTCTAAGCAGCCCGACTTCACTTTTGGAGTGACGTTTTCGAAGTCGTCGCCGTCGTTGTTGCTTAATAAGCTGATGTTACACGAGACGATTCGCAATGATGATTTTTAGCGCAACACAGCATTGCAACATTGTTGCGACGTTGTTTCGAATAGTTACCACATTGTTCCAACATTGCAACGCTGTGTTTCCGTGAAAATCGTCGTTGCGAATCGTCCCGTGTGACCCTTGAAAACTGAAGAAATGGGCCGCTTACGCGTCCTTGCCCTGGGAGGTTTCTCTCTCACTTTTTGCATTCACACGTGATCTCATTGCATTCAACACGGTTCTATCAAGTAAACTGGATACCGAGCTACGATTACATCACAGTCGAACGTCCATGTGCGACCACCTGCCGCTTCTAAAACTTTAAAAGTGGTGGGAAAATCGTGGTCACTTAAAAGCGACCACGAACATTTTTCGTAGTGACCCTGTTTTACGCGGGATTTTCCACCGTTTTTAACCTCTTTTAAGTGAGCACCTGACGAATGGTTTGATCTCCTTCGGTTGAATGTGTTCACTTCAGTTCAATAAAGTGTGAAAACTATTTATTTCGTTAAAAATTCCTGGAAACAAATGCCCTAGGAAGGCTGAAAATGCTATTTTAGAGACCCTATATTTCAAAATCCTCCTGAGCATGCCCCTGGACCCCACTAGCAGCTAGCACCTTCGGCGCTCGTGATTGGACTCCCCAATAAATTTACCCTTGCTATGGCACTATGTTCGCTGCATGAACTACACCTTTCAAAGTATGTTGGCAACTTTTCGCACAACATGGGACTCAACATATCAGGTAAAAAAGAAATTGCATGCAATTATTAGCCCCTTTTTTATTGCAGATGATCTCCAAAAGGGACCTCAACAGGAGCCCATAACGGCTCGTGACCTTAAATGATCCTCGACCGCTGTCGACTGCAAACTCAAGTTACTGGATCATCTTATCAATTTTATTTTCACACCAAAAAGTATTTTAACTGATTACAATTTGCTTCAAAAATAATTGTCACGATTTCTTTATTAATTCTTGGTTTGCAACTACGTGACAAGGCGACCATGTTGGGGGTCAATCAGCAATAGAATGTTTTCTCGAAGAATTTACTTGAAAATAGAGTTTGATTCCCAGAGGTGAGAAATTCCGAAGTTTGTTCTTGACCGCTAACATGACCGAAGTGACGTCAGATGTAAACCAGCATACCGCAGAATTCCGAAAATAAGCCCCGGGGCTTATATATTTTCGAAAGCCCTTTTTGAGGGGCTTATCTACGGATGGAAATTTGCGTTTCAAAATCGATTGGGCTAGCCTTATAGTTGGAAGCAAATTTACCGTTTTTGCTGTGTTACTTTGTATTTGAGAGCAATTTCCAAGTACAACCCCCCCCCCGGGGGGGGCTTATATTTGGAGGGGCGATTTAACGGAGGGTTTTTTGCGTTAAGAGTTTGGGGGGCTTATATTTGGAGGGGCTTATTTTGGGAATTTTACGGTATCTCTTTCCTTCCTAATTCCTTAAAAACAAAATTAATTTCCTGCTGTTGCTTAGCAGTACGGATATTGACGTTATATTCATGTTACTGTTTTTCGCCGTGTTCAAGTTCTCAGTACCTTTCCATTTTTCTACTTTTCAGGTCTTTCAGGGGTTCTTTTGCGGTCGACAGTGGGGACCATTTGCCGTTGAGGATCATTTACTGTCCATTTTGGGGATCATTTGCCGTCCGGGAACATTTACGGCACTGTACGCCTCAAAGCTAAAAGCTACGAGTGAGTTGTGTGACCAAAGGTGATTGTGTGACTACACAATAGACCAATCAAAATGCAGCTGTTGACACACCCCTCTCACACCCTTTTTAAATGCTAACTAATATTATCACACTAACTCACTAAACTAAGCCGCAGTTTCTGAAAGGTTATCAATAGGCTCTTTTGTTTTTTAGTTGATTATTTAGCGTCAAAATATTACGTGTACGGATGAGTTCATATATCTACAGCAAAGTGAGCTGAATTCGCGTTTGTTGATGGAGGCAATTTATCGGTGAATGCCCAATGCTAAACACTCAAGCAAGGTGAGCCTGTTATTCTGATTTCATTTGTTATTTCCATGATAACCGACTACAGCCGTAGATGCAGTAGTTACACATAATTTATTGAGAAGGACGACATCAGACAGTAGATACAGAATATATTTCTGATATCGCGCATGTTATGCATCTTCCAAGCTGTATTCCTGAGAACTGGGAAGTAGCAGCCGTTCCTTTAAACGCTTTTGTATTTTTATTAGCTTATACAAACCAGTTTGCAGAGTTGACAAACGACAATTAGATATAGTACGTGCTTTATATTCTGTTCTAAGTGTATTTTGAAGTGAATAGACGCTGCAGTGTTTAGGCAGTCAGCCGTATAAGTGGATCCACTGAGGTTGTTGCACGAATCTGTACTGACAAATGACAAACTAAAGGTGCTTGTGACTGTGTATCCACATATCCGCGTGATCATCTAATTTTTGGTGCTGCTTCACGGGGTAGCATGAAAATATCGAGGAGTTGTAGAGTTTAACTAATGGGCGATGTATGAAGCGTGAAACTTATGTTGACTCTCCGACATTCGACTTCCTAATTAAGCTGTAATATACAACTTAGTTTAGAACTTCCAGTAAATAAACACTTAATGCAAATTAATAGTTGTATATGAACTAAACTCGGTATGTTTCAAAACTGGAACGAGTTCAGACATATTATGGATTCTTTACCCTATAAAACATTTTATATAGGTAAATTTTGTTCAATTATGTTATAACATCTACGATCGACAAAACTGAAACGAATAATTAACAGAAATATAATTAATTATTATCACCTGCGTTTAGGCGGTCCTTCTTTCCCTGTTTTTCGCTCCCCGAAAAAAGAGAATGCCTGATCACAGGTTAACGGAAATATGGCATTTTTCAACTACGCTCTTAATGTAAGAAACAATTGGTCTTATTCATAAAATAACTTGTCCAATAAGGTCCACTTTGCATCTTTTAATTATTGATCGTTTTCACAATGAGCTCTCCTCTCGCCGTTCAACATATTCAAAACAAATGCTCTCGTTAAGAATTTGGCTGTGTGTAACTCAGATGTAATTTTTTTAGTCGCTTTTATGGGTGAATGTTTGAGTTGTAAGTTCAACCTCCACAGTGATCCGCCTACCTATCAATGAGACAAAAACATGTCCTGTAGAGACAGCATTGTCAGGTAATTCTTTTTCGTGCAGTATTTCGACGATGGCACTCTAACTTGCATTATAACGGCCGACAGATTGCCCACAACTGGAAGAACTTATGGCAACTTTCCATGAAGTATTCTCTATATACTTTACATCAATTAAGTACAAAGTTAACAAATAACCAAGTACAGCAACAGAATGTGTTTCCAGCTTTGTTTCGGGTGTATTTATACACAAAAACATTTTGAATGGTTGCTTTGCAAAATATAGTTTTTTGTGTTAGTGGGGCAGGAACCCCTAAGAACGTCTGCGTGAGAGGCTGTTATATGCTTTACTGCAGAAATATATTTTACTCACAAAACTTGAAACGCTAAAATTTTGAATTTTTCTCGCAAAATGCAAATGTTGCAAATTGTAGAAATTTTTGTAGAAATATTAATTAATTAAGTAAAGTAGCTTAGCAACGGTTTGGTCCACTTAAAGTCCGAGTTTACGGGCGCGTTCCATTGGGACAATCCGAAAGACGATTTATACTTCAAGATCACCAGAATCAAGATGCATCAAAGGAACTGATGAATCCTTGTTCAGATGGAGTGTAGCGGTTTCTTTGATGCAACATGATCAGCGTCATCTTGATCATCATCTTGATCCGACAGTATAAAGGTGATTCAATAAAGGTTGCTTTGGGCATTGGTCATTGCGCATTGGGAAGCTATTGTTTGGTGCTTACTCAAGTAAATCATTGCATTGTTCCATATGCCCAAATGCCCAATGCCCAATTACTAATGACCAATTACCGAAGCAACCTTTCTTGATTTAGCTGTACACACACTACTTAGTCTGTGCTCCACGGGCTATGTCAGGAGATCAATTCTGTGCTGAAGTCATTACTAGGTGCTTAACCATACACAACTGAAATGCACCGTTAGAGATATGTCATATGAAATGATATCAAACAAATTTCCTAAGGGAGTTCTGGCCATAAAAAACATTTCGGTGATTTTGCAGGAAAAGCATTAAACCTTGAAAAAGTTGGTCAAACTCCATGTTCGTCCATGCCATTCGCTGCAATCGACGACAGGAAACAGTTTCAACGTATTATTAGTCTTAATTAACAAAACTGGACCATTATACTTGGAATTCAATTGACACGAAAAAGTTTTAGCTTTTTTAAAAGTTAGCCCTCGACGGACTCAAAAGTGGACATAGCTTTAGATTGCGACTGATCAGTTCTTTGTGAAATTTTATTGTTTGCAGGAGAACAGAACGCACACAACATTCATGAAAGGCATGGAATTTTTAAGCGAACAAAAAGAGGCAGTGAATCCAAAGGAAGCGAAGATTTTCTCTCTGGAGGAAGTGTCATTTCATGCTGACCAAAACTCCTGCTGGATCGTAATAAAAGATGGAGTTTACGATGTGACTGACTTTGTTGGGGAGGTAAGAAATGTTTAGAAATTCTACGAATAGCTGCTACATCCTGCTGTTACACAAGACGATTCGCGACAACCATTTTTAGCCCAACAATGTTGCGTTAAAAGTTGATACTGTGGAGCATAGGTGCACAGACTCGCCCCGGATTACGGAATCCGAGAAAGTTTTGCTTCAACTGGGATCCGGAATCCATCACACTTTTGCTGCGAAATTGAGAATCCTGGGCTCTGGAGTTCGGAATACAGCTCAAGGAATCTGGAATTCCACTAACGATTGGAATTCGAAATCCAAGTTCCACTTAACAAATCCGGAATACGTAATCCACGGCGTGGAATTCAGAATCCAAAACTGTCTTGGATTCCTTTACATTGCGCGAAGAGACGATTTTCTGTACAATTTTTGCGTTGCTAGTTTTTAAAGTTTTTGAACACGCTTCAAGTAAGTTGAAACACCAAATCACGAATTCTGCTCAAGTGTATCCGAGTAACATACCCGTCATCAATTTTGTGCACAACGCCTTTTTGGAACCTCATTTGTTTCGTTAATTGCACTCAAACTGATCGTCCCGCGTAGAGCGTCTGATGCCAAATTAACGTCTTTTTCGTGTGTATGTTTTGCTCTAAAAATCGTCGTTGCGGATCTTTTAATTTCGTGTAACATTTACCTTTAGTTTGCATGGCTGGCAGTGGTTCGTGTGGTTAATGTCGTGTAACAGCAATTTTCATCATCAGGCTAACAAAATACAGTTGCACTTGTCTACAGCGGCCACCTTGGGATAGATGAAAGTGGCCATTGTAGAGAGGTGGTCGTTGTACACAGTAACTTTCATAGAGTTATAAAAACTCCTCTAGTGGGGTTAATTCAACTCCTCACAGTTCACAGTGGAGTTATTTTTGGGGGGAGTTATTTTAAGTCCAAAAAGGAGTTTAAAGAGCTCTTTTTCAGGAGTAAAAATCACCCCACATATTGAGAAGTTAAAATAACCCCAAAAAAGGAGTTATCCTGTACCTAAAAGTTTTACTCCACTTTCAGAGTCAAAGTAACTCCAAAAAGAGTAAAAACAGCCTATGTAAGGAGTACAATAACCCCATTTTCGGAGTTATTTTAGCTTATTTTAACTCCAGACTGGGAGTTAAAAGAACTCTTTTTCGGGAGTAAAAATGACCCCAAATTTGGAGTTAAATTAGGAGTTAAAGTAACCCCCAAAAAAGGGTTATCCTGTACCTAAAATTTTTACTCCATTTTTGGAATTATAATAACTCCCTGAAAATGTCTGTGTAGAGAGGTTGAAACAAGAGTGAATGTATAGACTTTCTGCCCAAAAAAAAAAAAAAAGGCCGACAAAAAAAAAAAAAAAAGGCCGTTGTGGAGAGGTGGCCGTTAGTGGAGGTTCGACTGCATTTGAATTTTGAAGTGCTTTGAACTCAAGACTTCAGCCTCATCTTCTAGGAGGGAGGTTGTCAAGCCTTCTAAGGCTTGAAAGTCGTTCTTTTTTTATTTTTCGGGGCTTTAGCAGTCCCCTGGCTGGTATCTGGTCCTTCTTCGTAGCACTCTTTCGTTTTAAAAAAAGTGATGTTGTGAGAATAGCTCAGCATTTTAGTATCTCTATTTCAGCATCCTGGTGGCAGAGAGATCATGCTAGAACACGCAGGTGAGTAAGTCACTAGTTCTCACACGAAGGATTGTTTCTCTTTATAAAATAACTAAGATAATACGCGCGTTCTGACTGGTTACAAACCTATGGTTTATTGTGCCAGTAAACTCATAGAAAACTTAAAGTTATTTTATAAAAGCAATTAACCACACCCCGCGTGGTTTATCACGCCGGTAAACTCACAGAAAATGTGGTCTATTGCTTAAAAAACGTTACATTGGAAACTTTTACGTTGTAGTTGTGCAGTAACGGCGATGAAATGGACAAAAAGGGTCATGTTCGTGCGGGGTTGTTATTAAACTTATTTTTTTGTGGCTTTTTTGCCTTCCCCGTTGCCCTGGCCGTTGTGGTTGCTCGCACGGTACTTAAACTCCCGAACGTCTGCATTGGAGAACAGAGAGATGCAGAACAGAGAGATGCGATACATCCGGGAACTTTGCGTCCGATTTCATTCTTTCTTAGAAGAAAACCTGAACTACTCCTACCACACGAAGGGGGCCGCCTTCAAGTTAAGTCAAGTTAGTATAGGTAATAGCATAATTTGTAGTGATATTTGACATAAATACCACGAGTGATACTTACCGTTAGGCGAGTGAAATTTGAGACAATTTTGAAATATCACGAGTGGTATTTTTGCCAAATATCACGTACAAATCATACTATTATTTGTTTACACTACTACCCGCAAAAGGTTGGTAATTTTCACATATAGGTATTTCAAATTAAGCTGAAATCCCACTGCTCTAAGCCAATCAAATTGCAGAAATTTCTGATGTAGTAGTATAAAGTAAGGAAAGCAAAAGTGTCGAGTTGGCAATTTCTCTGCGGATCTCTTCAAAGGGTCACTAGGCCTAACTTCAGTTATTTTCCTTTTTTTTTTCGGGGACGAATGACCGCATGGTCGCAGATTAAACTTGTTCACTTTGCACGTGATCCATTTTCTCCTCCTGTTTTAATTTTAGTGTTCGTTGAGTTAAACCTTAACTAATTTCTCAGTGGACATAACTTTTCTCAAGGTTTAGATGCGACCACGGTGTTCCAAGACATCGGTCACTCAGCAGAAGCCTTAAAGATTCTCGCAAAGTACTATATTGGCGAGCTGAGAGAGGTGAGACGCTGAAAGATTTGCGCTTTCCCTTTGTTGTCGTCGATTCAGGCATCCAAATGTACCACCACCGCCCCTTAAATTAAAGCCTGCAAAAACAGCCTTTCCTCCTCGGTCCTCGTCGTTAAGGACGTTTCCCGCGAAAGGTCCCTAACGACGAAGAGCTAGGAGAGACGGCTTAATAACCTGACTTACTTTCTTTACAGGAAGACAGAATCTATGACCGGAAGCCCAAACATTAACGATCAAAGGTATAGTGTTTTTTAACCTTACGCTTTTTAGCTAAGTTATAACAAGTACTGATAGGAGGAGTGATCGACAGGCTTTTGTCGTGTTTCTGAGAGACAGCATTTTAGATTACATTGGCAAGTGTCTTCACATTACAATACTTTTCGGTGTGATGGTAAACGCCTTAGGTTTTCGCTATAATAGTTTGTATAACGAGTTTTGTTCGCACTACAACGACGAAAACAATCATGATCGTAAATATCTCCAACGTCGATTATTCTCTGTGTAGAAGGCTAAATGTCATACTCGTGTGAGCGGAAGCTGTAAACACGTTTAGCCTGTATTCTTGGAGACTTGATTGTAATAAGAAAAAAGGCGGTTTGTTCTAGTGTCTGTTAACATTTGCTCTGACGTCATAGATCTGTTTAGGAGCCCGTCCTGATTTATTGCAATGAGAGGCGGTTTTATTTATCACCTAGAAGTAGACCAAAACTGCACTGAAGAAACGCGAGTGCCAAGGCGGAGAATAGGTACAGTACGTAGCACTCTGAGTCTTCGCCGCCCGGTTCCTCTCCGTTCTTTGTTGTTCAAGAAGTAGGGTCCTTGACCCTGGTAACAATTGATAAAAAGTTGGCGACAAAAAGTGCTGTGACCAATGACTAAGGATTGCAGTCTACATTATTCCCTTTGCGGGCCACTCCAGGGATCTTTAGTGTTCTTGGAATCACTTGCCGCCTTGCCGGTGAGTTTTGGGAACATTTTTTAAGGATCATTTCAGGGGCAATCTACATCTTTTCCAGAGCCGCTTGATCTTCTTTTTAAAATGTGTCAAACTGAATTTGATCGGGCATGTTATTTTTAATATCGTACGACAAACTAAACTGCAGAAAGATAAAGCAAGTGTCCTTCAAGAAGTATAAATGTACTTTTCTCAGTTTTCACCATTATAACGACCACCAACATAACAGTTTTGAAAACCGCAAAGGAGACCTCGATACACGTGTGCCCCTAAAGTTGCAGTTAGAACTCGCACTTTAACTTTTAAAATTGTTCCAGTTTGAATGAATAGTTACACTTTGTTTTTCCTTCTGCAGGATCGATACGCGGCGAAACTAGTCAAGTTGGTATCGTCAGCAACACTCCGCCATGTAAACGAGGTAGAAGCCAAGGGGAAGTCGTTTTATATAACAGTGCATTTTCCTTTAGTCACCCTACGGAGTACTACCAACAAAAATAGAAGCATGTGAAGACGGCAAAGACCAATCCTATTGACATCGGTACAGTCAAAGAGGATTTAAAAGGCTGCTCTAACGATTTCGAAGTTAGTTTCATTCGGGGTTTCTTGGTGGCGCATTGAGGAGTGAAGGATCAACCTCTGCAGAATAGAAAAGAAATTTGGAAGTACCACGCACGGGTAAAAGGACTATATTCATTTCTTTTAAGTTGAACGAGGTACTTTGCTTTCTCGATCGAACCAGTTTTTGTGTAGGTTCGAGTGTATATACAATGTAGGGGTCTTATCTTCTAAAAAGATCATAAAATGAAATTTGTAGTGCATGGCATTATGTATTGTTATTGGAATATAATTAAGCCAGTATCTGGAGTTCATGTTTTGCTTTGGCAGGATATGCCAATATCATCTATCATCAGTTGTTTTCCTCGGCATACAGTCATGATTTTTACTCGTTCAGATTCCGTCTTGAAATAAATAGTTTACAGAGTAGTGTTTTACACATCCATCACCCGCCATTATCACCGCTTAAGTCCTTAACTGTTAATTCGTAACTCACAAAAACTCGACCAGTCAATTTCTTGCACAACATATACACAAATTCCCCGGAGAGTGGCATTCTTGTCATTTTCACCCGACATAAAATGCAAATTCTCTTTCTGGTGACAACATGTTATCTCCTATTGTTCTCCTTTCCAGTGTCTGCCATTCGCCTTTTGAATCATTAAAAGCGTCCAGTAGTTTTACTCGACCCTCTACTAATTACTCTTCAGCGTAGTACAGATCAGGGTTTGGGGTCATCTAGACCCTTTAATACGAATAAACGCCAGCGAGTCCAGAAGCCCATGAAAGACTGTGACTTGAAATGCCATATACATTATATAGCTTTTGCAGATACTGAATAAATTGTCAAACACTGGAATCCTACTTCCTGATGCGAATTACAGCTCATCAGAATCAAATTGAGGTTTGAAATGTCACTGAGCCATCTTGACTCTTCCGTCATTTTCTTCACTGTCTCTGAACCATTTCTCATTTTCACTTGAGTAGTTGTGTCACCAAAATCGAAGTTATATTACTTGTGATTATCATCACCATCCACAATGTGCTTGTCTTATTCTGTTGCGCCCGACAGAGCAAGTCTCAGAAGCTATCTTTCTTCTATTACCAGAGATAGTGTTTCTATTCAGAGGGTGGTCCACCTCCCATCACAAAAAGGGAGAACCTTTGAATCGTTACAAAGTCTTGCTAAGTCTCATGAGTAAGCCCCAGCAGCGTTCCACTTGGATCCTTGTCAGGTATACATGTAGGTGTGCAACAGTCTTTACTGTTTGTTAAGCGTCCATGGCGTCTCGTTAACGGAAACTTAGTCACTTAGCTACTATGAGTAATAATCCGTATTAATAGCACTTCCTGTGTTGGTCTTTTTATCAAGTTTTCTTTTTGGGTGCTTTCGCCGATTTTGTATTTGTTTATACATGACGAGCTGCATTCCGAGAACTTTACAGAACTTAGTTGGAAAACACAGCTATTGGAAAAATGGTTTCTAATTAACGGGTGGTGAGTAATAGCTCGCATGGTGATGCCTTTTAATTCTTATAGAGTGAGGTGGCAAGCTAACTTCATTTTGGCTGTTCTGCCCGCGTTTCTCTCCAGACTTTTCCGTCCTCAGTACAGTAAGGTCCCAAGTTATAAATAAATGGCTCATGAGGGCGCCTTTCTTTACAATTTGGTTTATTCGCGCGTGTGCACTTTAAACAAACATGCTGAAGGGTATCTCCCCTCCAAGAATGAGCAAAAGGACAACGATTTGTGATGTTGATATCGGCAACCCCACATGTATGAGTTTCGCACTCTTTTGATTTTTTAGCGCCAAGTACCCAAGCTCCATGATGAAGCTTGCCTGCCTCGTCAACATACTTGGGTGTAAACTTGTACCTTTCTGTGCCACGAGCAACCTCAATGGACTTCCATTTGCGTCCTTGTGCAGAAAAGACGTTCCAGGGGCCACTCTGTGGTCGGCTTGGGGATTTTGGTACTTGTTCCTCCTGTCGTGAACGCCCTTGCTGCACAGCGGAAGCATACGAGACAGGGTGAGACGATGTGCCTGGTTGGTAGACGTTTTCAATACTGACCCAGGATGACATGGCACTCCTAGCGTGGGTATTAAAACAACTGGACGAAACAGCAGACTTTTCTGGTTTTCTGGGAACGTCGGGGGAGCCACTGATTGGCGTGTTGAGCAAATTTGGCACTGATGAGCTCATATATTGTTTTTCCTTTGATAGTGGGCTGATGGAAATATCGGAAAAATTCCCAGCATTTGCTGCTACTGCCTTTTGTCCTCTTTTCGTATTCCTCGGCTCATATTGTTTTTCTCTTCTTGGTACAGCTGCGGTAAGGTTGTCCCTTCCATTTGCGTAATCGATCAGAGGGAATTCCCAATCGAAAGTTTCGATGTCCTTACGACTTAAGATGGCTGCGTAAGTATCATTGTCAACAGGGTCATAAGCATAAGGTCCAGAAAGGGAAAAGCCAACGTAGAACCACAAGTCGTCTTTACTTTGCTTTGGGTAACGTTTGTCGTCAAAACGTAGCTGAATTCCTTGGTACGTTATAACACCGTTGAAGTTGACATCCTTTTGACCGCACACTCGTTCTAGCTTCTCTGAGATCTCTCTACTTCTCCAGAGGTTGGTTTTAGATTCCCCCTTTTCAAGCGATCGAAACTGTTGACTGTTTGCAATGGCGTACAATCCAGTTCCCTTTCCAAGAAAGTATTCTGCACCAGATTTCCGGAATCCTTTTCCTGTCTTCTTCAGGACGATTTTGTCGCATTTCTTGATTGATTCTTTGGCAGAATAATTGAAGAACGCGAGCCGTTTATCTGGAATTGGGAAATGAATCATGTAGTTAAATAGATGGGCCCATTCTGAATCCGGAAATTTCGACACCCACATGGTCACAATTTCGTCCAGCTCTTCGACGGATGGTTTCTCTTGTAAACGAAGACAAGCCTTACAACAAATAAGCATGTCATCATGACTTCCATAGCCACGAGAGCAAAGCACTTTAAGCGAGTTATAAATACGGGAAACTTCTCCATCGCTTAAATTAAGCCATGTGCTGTACGTGGTCTCATTGTTTATGAAAAGAACATCTTGTACAAACTGTTGGCAAAGAGCCTGGGCATCCCTCGTAAACGGTTGGGAAGACGTCGTAACTACCATATCACGCAACTGGCTTCTATCGAAACCCGTCACTTCATAAAAGGTTCTTCGCAATTTCAAGGCCCTCAATTTGGCATTAATTAAACCTCTGATTGCATTGTCACCATAAGTAGTCATATGTCGGAACTTAACATCCCCGAAAATTTCATTAAGAAGACCAAGTGTTGTAGAACTTAGATCTTTTATGTAGTTGTGTTCTTCCTGGGTGAGTACCTCTTCCAGTTCACTTGGAATATCAGCTGTCTTCAGATACTTTGTAATGCTTTCACCATCTAAGCGAAAGAAAGGCAAACCTTTGACTATTTGAAGAAGCGAGACAATGGCTTGAACTTTCCCTATCATTGAATAATAGTTGAGCTCATGAGTAGTACTAAGTGCCTTGTCGTAGACTTCTAGTGCTTTGCGACATACATCAATCACTTCAGTCATGGAGGCGGGAAGGGTAGGCCCGTCCTCTGATTTGAAATCCCTTAGCTGCAGAAGGTACAGAGTTCCTTTGGTCACATAGTGATGACTGTACTTAGGCTGTTGGTTAATGGCAATATCAACGGCAATGTGTGCTGCTTCGATACCTATTTTAGGCATAGGCAGCTTAATTCCTCGTTCTTCAATCATAGTTGTATGAAGACGGCAATGTTCCTCATTTTTTGCTTCCATCTCATTCGCACGCATCTCATAGCCCATGAATCGCGCCAGCTGCTGCCAAGCGTATGCCTTCTCCTCCACTTCAGAAGCCATTAGACAGATCTTAATGAGTAACCGAAGGGCTCTTTGAATGCCATCGTTTCCCTCCAGTATATCTAATATCAGCGGAGAATAGCGCGTTTTCACTTCATAAAAGCCAAGTACGTCGTCTTCGAAATCTGAATCGATGCTTTCATCATGCGTTTCACTGTACTCCAGATACACTGGATCTGAAATTCGCTTTCGATCTAAAAACACCTTAAAAACTTGCTCCTTTAAAAACTTGTTGACGTAGGCTCTTCCTTTCTGAATCTGTTCCATCAAAGCTATTGCCGTTTCTTCAACATTGATTCTTGATGTGACAGCTTCACTGACCAGAGAATGTGCTGGTCTCCATCCGTAGTAACCATTTGTTTCATCGAACCCTTCGAGAAGAAGTCCACCAAAGATTTTGTGGATGTGCTGCATTAATGCGCATTTTTCCTCACTCTCGTCACTGGCTTCATAGAGCAAGTCGGTGACAACAGGGTGCGGGAGAATGGCTCGGCCGTCACTGTAATAATGAAGAAAGCAACAGAAATTAAGAACCGTCTCATGAATTTCTTGAGAATCATCCAAAAAGTCAAGGGTACTCTTGATGTGGTTCTGAAGTCTTTCCTCAATCTTGTCATACTCGCGTCCAAACAGCTCCAATCCGAACCAAATGAATCGTTTCTCCCTCTCAAGAACCTCCTCTGCTCCCCTTCTTCGCTTGCTATCTTTTGTGATATTAATCAAAATATCTTTAACCAGACTCATCTCCTTAATGTCCAGTTGTCGCAACGTCAAATCAAAATGCGAGTTTGCACTCAACTTTCCAATTGGAAATGTGGATAGAATCACACACTTAGTCTGCCTTCTTGTGATTTTCTCAGTTAGTCGTCTTGTTTCATTCTCAGGAAAGTTATCAACAAGAACCAGACATGGAGGGGCAAATTTAAAGTTTTTCTCGTCATACGTGATTCCTTGGAGTTGCTCGATTTGATAATCTGTATTGGTTGTGATTGCCTTAACAACAGCGCAACGGTATTCCGTACGTTTTTTCCAAAGGATTCTGCGACAAAGAGTAGTTGCTCCAGATCCAGGCTCGTAAGTAACGGTAACGGTGATGACGTGAGAGCTGATGTCTTTGCTGGGCTTTGACAATGTCTTTAAAGCTTGTTCAATCTTCTGCATCGTTTCTTCTTCCAGTGTTCTTTCAATGCAATGGTTGTGAAATAGATTTGTTTGACTGGCTTGCGCACCCTTGTAAAAGGCATTTCTGGCTTTCTCTATGTCCTCTACCAATCTCGGCAACCGCGGATTTGGAACATAGACTTCAAGATCATCCCACGAATGAATCATCTTGTTGAACACCTCTTTCAACAACCCAGTAAAAAAAGGAAGCTCCGTTTTAGCCCCTCTTTCCTCAAATTTAGTTGGTCCGACCATATCGCGGACAATTTCTCTCAAGAGTGACCAAGGTATATCTGTAATGGAGCAATCTCTGAGTTCTCTTTGAAGCCTGGAAGCTTTGATGAAGGCATCTGTCACGTGTTTGCTTTCGCTGATAACAGTAACGCAATTGCTGGCCGAATCTCCAAGAATGCTGAAACAACATTCCATCATGTCAACCATCTCTTGAATGTTACTTTCATCAAGACCTAGGAACAAGCACATGAGCCGCCCAAGTGGACAACAGAATTTGTAGGTGGAAAGAGCTCGATAGAAGCAGTCCCTGGAACATTTTATCCAGTCTCCTTTCTGCATTTCCTCATTTCCCAAGATCCAGGTCGTTCCTCTTGTCGACAGATCGAAACCTTTGTCCGGTTTTCCCGAAATCCAGTCAGATGGAGCTTCTTTAAAATCATCTAGGCTTCTGAGTTTTGCTCTTGGTGCATCAGTTGTTTCGTTGCAGGCATAGTACAAACCATCCTTTTTAGAAGTAGCGTCAAACAAATCAAATACTGCAAGCCAAGGAATATTCTGAAGGAAAGCTAACTTCGGCGTCCCTCTGTACCGCGGAGGCAACTTGTTTGCAATCAAAACGTAGCCAAAGTCTTTAAAGTTCAAATCACGAAGCCTCTTCTTTACCAAAGCACTGAATTTTTTAACGTCCGAGTCATTTGGGATGGGATCTGAGATAAAGCGATATAAAGAAATATGTCAACTGCGGGATTCATCGGTTGTCAGCTTATCAGGCTATCACTTTTTCGCTTTCTAATCAAATGAACTTACGGTAATTATAAGCAATTTAAGGAAAGGCCCCGCTGCGGGTCATAGGCCACAGGCTTGCTGTTAGCAAAACCCAAATTGCGCAAGGTTCGTTTTGAAAAATTCGGCTAGATATACATTACAGTATTCTTTTTAAGAGTTTAACGGAATCGTTTGTATTGGTTTTTAACTGATCTTAACTGGAAATAGCTGAGTCCAGAATTCCGGCAATGGCAAAATTACTTGTGTGTTTGATGTAATCAGCTCTCACACTGCTGCTGTACTTTTGTCTTAAGATGATTTCAGTCTTATTTCGCTTTCGATATTGGGAAGGGCTTCTGTCTTCCTGCTTTTCCTCCCTCTTTCACCCGCGGTGGTTCTGATGAGCCATGATCTCTCCACGCAGCTCGCCAGAACACGTCAAGCCGCCACATAAAATATGTGCATCAAAGCGGAAATAAAAAGGTCATAGAACTTCTCGTAAATAATAACACTAGGTATGCTTACCTTCAAGTGACGCCTCTGTTCCTGTACAAACTAAAGAAGAAAAAATTGTTAAAATTGATTTTAAAATGTAAAAACAAACTCCCTCACTCAATATTGTTTACAAGCCGGATTTCAAGGATCGACTCTGGTCCAAAGTGTTCCAACTACTCAACCAAAGCTCAAATCATCGTTTACAACGACATAGGGCATTACTACTCCTTCCTTCTTCGAAAAGACGATTAATGACTGCAGGGTTGCCTCTATCTCGTATTGCTCCGTTACCCTATTTACGTTCGTAAGCACAGATACATAAGAGGCATATGGCAGTGAAAAGTCCATTGTGTGAGTAACGGAACTAACAAGACAGTGCAAATTAGGGTTCTTATAGCAAAGCTAGTCTCATTTTGCGGAAGCAAAAATATAAAGATGTGACACTCACCCAGTTTTGTCACCCTCTTCCATTCCTTGTATTTTGCTGCAAGAGGTTCCCTCACTTGCCGATTAACTTCGTGTTGCTTCACGTTAGTTGAAGCGCCATTCGTCCTAATGACAACGTCGTCGTATTGATCTTTTACTTTGTAGATTTCACTGAGGGTCTTCTTCACGGATACATTTCCATCTTTGTCAACTCCTCGTTTCTCAACCCAGGATTTGCAAAAATAAACGTTGTTCTTGCAGAACTTCCAGTCTCGACTCACCTCAATTTCGATGACATAAAGGCCTGTCCGACTATCTTGGATTACTACTGGGACAAACTCTATATTGACACAATTTTGCTCGCCTCCCTTCTGAAGTGGGCCATCATCGCTCTTTATGTGATCGTCAAGAACAAATTGAAAAGCTTTCATGATATCATCAGTTGCATCACCTTCAACATCGAGTCCAAGAATTTCTCCTCGTTTAAACTTTGAACATTGTTCTTGTGAATCTCCAACGCCAAAATAGATGATCCCCTTACTGTCAGCATTCAAGCAGGCGCAAATGAACTTTTTTGCCTTCTCCATGATTTTCCAAGGTAGCGTTGAATAGGGTGCACTTGTAAAAGATTTGAATTCCACCTCTCTATTCTCTTCTGCATCTAGGACAAATCCTTTTTGATAGGCAGCTTCCTTTCCCTTGACTCCGAACGCTCTTGGGGTACCTTAATCAAAGTCAGAACAAACAACCCATCAACAAAACAAAATACTTGCTGCATTTAGCAAATTGCATCGGCGTTCAGAATGGCTTTGCTACATGAAACATTTCTAGTATAAACTTAACGCGTACGAGATAACGGCTTTAAATAGATGGATAGCATTATTTATGTTTCTTAGGACATTTTATTTAGGACCTTTTCAGCTATCTTTCACTGATTCACCGAAACCTTCGACTAGCTGTTAGTGCTAAGACAATTTATTTTATTATGGCAAATTACTCACATTTACCAACTACTTCAGAAACTTCCTGGCGATCTCCGACTTCGGTTCTACTCCTTTGGTTGGAAGGCTCAGTAGGTACTTGCTGATCGTGAGGGGAAAAATTGCTACTTCCCTCGTGCTTCTTAGCGGAGGTGTCTATTTCACTCTGTGCTTTTCCCACGGTTGGTGCGCTTTCTTTTGTAGCTAATAGTTCCTTTGCGGTAAAAACATCAATCTCAGGGGTAGTATCTGTTTCACTCTGTGCTTTTCCCACGGTTGGTGCGCTTTCTTTTGTAGCTAATAGTTCCTTTGCACTAAAAACATCAATCTCAGGGGTAGCGTCTATTTCATTCTCTGCTTTTTCCACTGTTGGTGCGCTTTCTTTTGTAGCTAATAGTTCTTTTGCAGTAAAAACATCAATCTCAGGGGTAGTATCTATTTCATTCTCTGCTTTTTCCACGGTTGGTGCGCTTTCGTTTGTAGCTAATAGTTCCTTTGCAGTAAAAACATCAATCTCAGGGGTAGTATCTATTTCATTCTCTTCTTTTTCCACGGTTGGTGCGCTTTCTTTTGTAGCTAATAGTTCCTTTGCAGTAAAAACATCAATCTCAGGGGTAGTATCTATTTCATTCTCTGCTTTTTCCACGGTTGGTGCGCTTTCTTCTGTAGCTAATAGTTCCTTTGCAGTAAAAACATCAATCTCGGGGGTAGTATCTATTTCATTCTCTGCTTTTTCCACGGTTGGTGCGCTTCCTTTTGTAGCTAATAGTTCCTTTGCAGTAAAAACATCAATCTCAGGGGTAGAATCTATTTCATTCTCTGCTTTTTCCACGGTTGGTGCGCTTTCTTTTGTAGCTAATAGTTCCTTTGCAGTCAAAACATCCTTCTCAGGGGAAACGGCACCGGTTTTATCTTCTATGTTCTTTAGCCTTTTCGCGCTTTCTTTTAAGCAGGGACCAAAATCAACTGATGTCAAATCCGATGAATTCAAGTACGCATCTGATCCATTCATCGTTGCATGTGTGCCTGACATATCTTCTCGTTCAGCTGATGCTTCGTTGACGGCAGAGGCAACCATCCTCTGGGTAACAGTCGCCAACGAATTGTTTTTCACGTCAGATATTCCCAGAACTTCACAGGTTGTATCCCCTTCGTGACGCTCGCGCACCTCTGTGTTTTTGGGATCAAAATCAGTTGGCGTAAAACCTGTCAAATAAAAATAAATTTGAGCCAATATGCTTCTGTCTGAGCTCACTTCTCTCAAACACCACGATTCACCATTGCTGTCAAATTATGATGTCCACTTTTCATTGACCATCTGAGTTTAACTCTTGGGAATATTTTTATAATTTATTCTACTTTCCTTTCTGTCCTGTTAACGTCCGATGTTATGACAAGAGTCAACGAGTTTTTTGTAAACTGACTACGTATCATAAACGGACAACAGTCATCTCCAGGACAACAATCGTAGCGAATTAGGCTATGTTCGCATTATACCGGATGGCTCTTGCGCATGCACGAAAACCATACCAGATATGGCTTCTGTTCACACATAAGAACCGTGATTTCGGTGCGATTTCTGTAACGAAGCGAAGCTGCGGCGCGACGATCTCTAAAACGGAGAGTCACATATCCGATAGGTGTTCATACCATACTGAATGAGTTTTGTTCGTGTCGGTAAGAAAAGCTATCCGCAATAGTGTTAACAACTTAAGCCTTAATAACCATGCATCGCTTTGTCAGAGCAATGGAATATAGGTTTTAACCCATGTTGGTACTAAGTCAGAAAACAGCCTTTGTTAAGTCAGACCTTTCTTATGGAATGTCAACCAACTACAACTGATTTCGATTTATTGATACAAATTCATGACTTACTCAAAGCTCCTCTTGGTTCTGGTCTTGTTCCCCAATTGTTGTCAACATCCTTTGTTTGTATTACTTCTTCGGGGCGAACATCTAGCACATGGTCCTGCTTATTTGCACGTTCTGTGATTGGAGGCACTTCGTCTCCTGACCCTCCTTGGTACACTTTTTTGATGGGAGCATCATTAGAATCTTGCACCTTATTACCTAGTTTAATAGAATTATAATATTATAGGATGCCAAGTAAAATAGGCTATATGTATTCCGAGAGTGATTTTTTGTGTTGCTAACGACGTTAATGGCAATGCTATGATTGTTACCGGCTAAATAACAAATGAGGAGTTCGTAGACTAACCCAAGTCAACGAGATCTTTGCGGAGGGATTTTATCATTGTACCAAGTGCGGACCCAAGAAAATTTGATAAAGGGTGCGTTCGATTTAGAGTTTGAAATCCGGATTTCGGATTTGCAATCGAACGCGAAATATGAAAACGGATTTCAACGCTGTGATATCTGGTTTTGGATTTCCTTTTTACCGTTCGATTGGGAAAACCGAAAAAGGATTTGGAAAACTGTCCTTAAGAACAACGGTCTTGCACGCGCACGCATAATTAGCAATAGAAACGAGAATAGTTTTGCAAATCCTTTTCCGGATTTCCCAACCGGACGGTAAAAAAGAAATCCATGAAATCCGCATTTGGATTTCTTAATTGAAATCCACCCTGAGGACAGATTTCTCAGAACTGAAATCCGTTTTCAGATTTCGCTTTCGATTGCAAAATCCGAAATCCACATTTCAAAATCTAAATCCGGATTTCCCGATCGAACGCAACTAGAGACTTTCCAAATCATGCACTCGGCACAGCTGTTCATATCTCCCCTTCCTCTTCTCCGAACATCGTTTTCCACTAGCTTTAAATTACATAGACTTTTACATGGCCCACATTTGGTAGGTCATGCACCTCGCCCTTCCCTGGATCCACCGTTGTGTCCATTACTATGCTAGGCGTTATAGCGGAGCTCTGGCGCGCGAAGCGCGCCTGCGGAGCACCATGGGTAAGTAAATCTACCCATCCAAGAAAATTTGGTAATCACGTGACCGTACACCGCCCTCAGCCCGCCCGTCCGTCCACACCACAGGGCAACCAATGTTCAATCTCACACTTTCTAGCTAGTTTGGGAGCACAGGAAGACTGATATTGCAGACATATTGCACATCAATCTTGTGATCAATTGACAGCTGTCAAAACAGGGTATCCGCTGACCAGTATCACCTGATCGTATCGCGGGCTCAGGTGTCGACCCATCGAGGTCGAGTATCTTTTTGAAGTTATCCGCTGACAAGTTACTAGTTTTCAAATGATTGCAGGCTCAAGTTTAATTTTTCAATTCATATGAATTATGTTGTGTTTTATATGTGCCGCACAATTAAAATTTTGATTTCAAACTGACCTCGGCAGCTAAAAATTAAGCCAGTTTTTACAGGCAGGGAGGACATGCTAGTTGCTTTTGACTTTTCTCACCAACGTCACGCGTTGGTCACGCTCTACGTCCAATTTTTATACTCTGATTGGTCAAAATTTGACAGGTGAGTTCACGCGGAAAATTTATGCAGCATCTTGAAACTTGTTTACTTTGACAGCTGAAGCTGACAGAGTTTTGTGTCAACTTGTGATGTTTTTAACTGTCTTTTTCCACTGAATGTACAAAGTGAAATTCAGCTGCTATCAAGAGTCTTCTGTTATTCATGGCTAGTTTGTTTATTGGGTTTTTGGTTGAGAAATACGTCGCTTTGGCAAAGTCGGAAATCCGATTTCGGATGGCATCGTTTTCGTTTTTCACCTTGCTTGATGCGTAAGAGGGTTGAAAAGTCTGAAGCGATTCTGGCCTTACTTGATAGTTTTCAGTGCATCTCGAAAGGTAAGCGTGAGTAATTATTGTATTTGAAGTTTGTTTTTTATATCTAATTTAATGAAGTCGAGCGTAGTTTACGCGGCTATTTGGTTTATGCACGTTTGTAAGATTTGAGACAATGATCTGACCGAGAGTGACCGAGTATCAGGTTTGATTATAAGCTTATGGAACTTTAAAAAGCCTTTAGACATTTTCTCACCGCAAATAGAAAGAAAACGTTCCAAAGAATATTTGGTTATAATTCTGGCTGTAAAAGTAAGCTTTGAGCGATTTTCTTGCCTCGAGTTCATCTTTGAAAAAAGCAAACACCGGGAAGCCGGCTTAAATCGTAAACAAGGATTTTCAGAGACACTTTAATACTTGTCTTCGTGAATGTAATTGTTGTCTCTGTATATGTTTCGCCGAATTATTTTCCCTTTCTTTATTGATTGTTAGTAGTCTCTTTTGCAATTTTAATCGCTGTGCCGTTTGTTTTCAGTCGCTCATGAACATCGCTTGCAGGAGTAGTCAAAATGCCGCGCGTAACAAAAGCTTTTGAAGATTACAGATCGTTATAGAATCATTAAATAAAAAATAAACATAATAAATTCTTTATTGTGTTGAAGCGTATAACTATATTAATCTTAATTTAAACAGTCGACTTGTCAAAAGTGAGAACCGGCTAGCCGTATAGGTGATTTTGGAAATTTTTTTGACGGTTTCGCTAAAAGCCCACGCGTGCTTCGATCGTCTTGAATATTGAATGAGTGCAATTTGTATTGCAAAAGTGTGAAACACTGCATTCTGTCCGAGGTCAGTACGATGAAAACGGCGCCTAATGGTACTGTTTCACCTCAGATGTGATGTACAAAAACTATAAAAGGTTGGTTTACAAGTCCCCAGACTTGTTGGCAAGATTTTGTAAAGTAAACATGTCGAACGCAAAAAATTCGGCCTGATTTGTTTTCCAGGCCTAATCTACTGTGATC